AAGTCGGGTGGACTGGGACAAAGATGTATCCCTAGCGGGGAACATCTAGAAGAGAAACGATCGATCGCTCAGGTTAAGCGAAACGATAATCCTAGATCGACTGGAGAGTCTTTCGTAGAGGATCTCGCTGTGGTTGCGCAACCCCAGCTAGAGGAAGTAAAGGGAATAAGTCCCGATATTGCAAATACGGCGGAAATAAGTTCCCCGAAACCCGCGGGAATAAGTCCCCGGGAAGCCGAAGGAATAAGTCCTTCGAGGCCTGAGGGAATAAGTCCCCAGGAAATGACAGAGACATTGAATGTCATAGTCAATGATGATCAAGTGTAGGCGCTTATACACTTGATCTGATTGCGCCTCCGAAGTTGACTTCGGAGATCACTCAGTTGCCAACGCTCGAACATAAAAGGTTCTTGCGTGATCTGCGTAGTGGCAAAGTCAAGCAGATCTGCGTACTCGTCGCTGACGACGATTGTGTAGCCGACATGAGGTCAGCAACAGTGTTTACTGAGAACGAGAGAGTTCTCAGTAGTTCATCTATGGACGAGAGTGTCCTAGATGAAAAGACACGAGTTGAGCGATATGACCCCCAATCGTGGGAATCGCTCAAGACAAATCCTCTCTATGAAGATTTGGTTGAATTCAAGGATGTATTCCCTGAAACTGTTCCGTGCGAATTACCGAAGGATAAAGGTATTCGACACGAGGTCGAGCTTAAACCAGGCTCGAAGTACTGTGTCAGGAAGCAGTGGCCACTGCCTCGTGAACAAGTACTTGCGATCGACAAGCTCTTTGCCGATCGTTTAGCTGCGGGCCATGTGAGGGAATCAAATTCCCCACATAGCTCTCCGACCTTCTGTGTGCGAAAAGCAACAGGAGGGTGGCGGATAGTGCACGCGTTCAACAAATTGAACGCTGCAACGGTACCGGCTCAGACGCCGATACCGAGGAAGGACGTAATCATTGATGGTATGTCAAGGAGTACCATCTTTTCGTCCATGGATTTGATGGATGGCTCCTATCAAATCCTTATGCGAGAACGGGACATACCCTATACCGTAGTTAGCACGCCTAGCGGCATACTCTGGGAATGGCTAGTAATACCACAAGGGCTTAGTAATTCCCCTGCCACGTTCAACAGATGTGTATCACACCCGTTGAGACCAGTACGAGAATTCGCACCGAGTTATTTTGATGACGTATTCATCCATAGTCGGGCTATGGATGGAAACTCGGACGTTGAGGTTCACAGGTACCACTTCCGACAGGTTCTTACAATCATGCGAAAGAATCAATGTATGCCAATCTCAAGAAGTGTGTATTTGCAGCAAGCGAAATACCACTTCTTGGGTGCATCGTTGGTAAGAACGGTGTACGTCCTGATCCCGAAAAGATCAAGGCGATCACCGACTGGCCTGTGCCGGTTGATGTCAAAGGTCTTCGAAAATTCCTTGGGCTAGCGGCGTATTTGCATAAGTATTCACGCAATTACGCCGAGATGACTGTGCACCTCTCTCGTTTGTTGAAAAAGAACGAGAGGTGATTATGGAACGCTGAATGTCAGCGCTCCTTTGATGGCATCAAGCAGAGCTTGATACAATCCCCAGTCCTAGCAATTGCCGATCAGGACAGGCCATTTCATGTGGTCTGTGATGCCAGCGATTTCGCAATCGGCTGTGCATTAATGTAGTACGATCTTGAAGGCGTTGAACGCGTCGTCTGCTATCAGTCGCGTCAGCTGCAACCAGATGAGCAGAACTATCCAGTGCATGACAAGAAATTCCTTGCCATGAAGTATGCACTCGCGAAGTTCAGAGTCTATCTATTAGGAGATAGACCCTTCATTGTTTACACTGACCACGCGTCATTACGCACGGCAGTGAACAGCCCGCACCTTTCACAACGAATGGCGCGGTGGTTGTCATTCTTTGCAGAATACAACTTTACGGTAGAGTAAAAACCAGAACGACTTGATGTCGTCGCTGATGCAATCTCACGTCGTCTTGACTTTGAAACAGTCGTGAAACCCAACAGTGAGACAGTCACTGGTGCGGTTCTGACGTCCTCAGTCCCATCTACAACGTTGTATGATGATGTGAGGCGGGCATACGCCCAAGATGGTGAGATAGTGAAGCTGTCGGTACATCTTTCACAACCATCTCGAGAATCGTTGAAACGATATTGTAACGGGGCACCCTGAAGCTTGTACTGGTCACAGTACAAGCTACTTATTCTGATGACAGAATAAGGGGGTGCCTCGTAACTTCACGTACACTTGTACGTGCAGAGGAAGACGGTAAGAAGAAGCGAGTACTTGGTTAAAGTAAAAAGTAGAACTGTATTTAGCATAGTTAGTATCTGCATTAAACTACTGTTTATCTTCATCTAACTATGTCTAAATACAAATGTGTATATCAACTTTCTGCTCACCACTCATTGCGTGCGTCTGTCGTGGCGCGTCTTCGTTGGTTGATGTAATGGCCCATGTCAACCAATTAGGATCTACTCGTAAGTGCTACATAATATTTGTCCTTATGCCAATATTCTGAGAATGTAGCTCTTACAGTTATATTCTATTAACAATTTCTTATAAATTGTTATGTAACGATTCACACCGTTACAGTGTGGGGTAGCACTTATTATAAATTGTCTGATCTCCTGCACACCGAACCTAGCTCTTAACCTCTTCTCGAAGCAGCTGAATCTGAAATTATTTAAATGCGCCATCTAAGCCCATATTTAGTGCTTCAGATCGACATTAACAGCCGCGGCCAATGTGCCGGTTTGATCAAGTCAATGGACGTATCAAGGTTATCGAGATCAAGTTGCTGCAGCAGGTTACATTTACAAAGCAGAACACGAGCGGTTGGGATCAAAGCCGCATCTCTAGTTTAAGCATGCCGTGATTGAAGTGACCCATTTTTCTTTTTATTGGAGCTTGTCGAGACTACCTGCAACAAGAAAGCAACATTGTTTGGTACACTCGGTAACTATCTCCAGCACTACACGACGCGTTTAAAGTCACTTCCCGATCTGCGCTTTCGGGCAACAACGGCCAAGCAACGAGGACCTCCAACGAGCCGGACAATCGACCCCCTAGCTCTAAGTGGGAAGTCCCTTATCGTGGGGCCCAGCTTGAAGGGGGAAGCCGTCTTGCCGCTGCTTGCCTACAGGAGGCTGCGTGGCGTGCAAACTGGAAGGGAAGCAACAACCAGGGCATCCCGAGGTCTAGGGTACGTCAGGACGACCACCCTGCACCATGAACAAGTTCCTGCTCTTCTACATCCGCCATCAAGTCGTTGACCCGTTCGCCGAGCGCGATCTCCGGTCCCACGAAGCGAACTTGCTAACAACGTGATGCTGTCTGGTGGACTCGGCGCCGGTGGTACATGCTAAGGACAAGTCAAGACGGCCCCCGGGACTGTTTGAAGCTGTAAAGGACCTCCCGTGCAGGCGTTCTCTGCACCCAACATTCACCCCCAGCTTTTTTCCGGTGACACGTGCCCTTCTCAGAGTGTCCCCTGTGACACCCGATGTGTCGAGCCAGCAGAATGAGCTAGAGAGGAGACGAACGATGCAGTCCTGGTAGATGACCAATAACCACCATAAATCAAAGACTAGTAATAATTACTTCGAATAGACCGTCTAAATCTCTCTTACGACGCGATTAATGTCAGAAGCGCCCAATCTTTGCCTTGAAGGAACGTCTCTCCCCCCAGCGATTATCGTTGCCTGAATGAATCTAGAACCCATCACGCTCCTTGTACGACCTGATCGATTTCCGGATGCAATTCTGGCAGTTGGTACACACAGTCTCGTCTGCTATTCATTCTGATCGCCGATGGGAACCCTCTAGTGCTTGCTATGTTTTGCTGTGTCGATCTCGGCTTAGTCTCATTCGATATTCGCGTCGCAGTGCTTGTCCATTTCAGGCCGTGACCATTTATTAGGTCATCACAAATCAACTGGGGGCTGTGAGAGACGTGCAGAGAATCTAGCAGCAGATTTTCGAGACATTACCGCCACAATCACGCTCTTCTTCTTCGATGCAGATCCTTCATCCATTAACGTCACTTCTTTTCGAAAATCATGAGGCCTGACGCTTGAGCCCGTTCAGACAGACTAGAACGTATCAGCATTCATAGGAGAGCATGCTGACCACGCTATGCCTCATCGTGAGCCAAAAAGAGTACCAAGTCTTGTCTGCAGGACGTCCGACCCCTCAGCACCAGTTTCAGGTTCGGATTAGTGATCGTTTTTTTATTCACGCCTTAATCGGTTGGTGGTGGTCTGTCAATCAAGAACCAGTATAGGTGATTTCGAGAAGCAGACACACACGCGCGTTGTCATATCGCACAAAAAAAAGACACCGTAGTATCTCAGAGGCATCTGCGCACAGCGATCCTGGGAATGGCGGTGAAGTTGTTCGCTTAATCTTTCTATCTAACCTTGACTTGCAAAGTTTGATTGCACAGCTGTATCCAGATTGCACTGAATAGCTGGGGACAGACCGGAAGTACATCAACTGATGCCGCGCTTGAAATCGGATCCATACCATAGCTGGGGGCAGTGTCGATGATGCACACGCACTTTCTGTTGTGCACTAAAATTTGACCGTGTAAGATTTGACGCTGACAGACACCATCCCAAAATGTGCGCAACTCTTCAGATTTATGCTGCTGCCAAAACCACTAACAGCCGTTCCCGAGATTTTCCGTGGGCGCATGAACATTGAAAACAAATCAAAATTTAGTTACCGGTGTTATTCTCTCGGGCAGAAGCTGCATGTCCTTCTGCTCTCCCTCGCAATCTTTTTTTTTAAAAATGCCTCTCAGCCGTCGGCCAGTTTCTTGTGGCCACATCAGACGTGCGTGGAGGTCCAGCAGACCTTTGCACGCGCCTCAAGTGGCCACAAAAACTGGCCTTTGCTCGTGTGCGCGTAAATCTTAATGGATCAGTCATTATCGATTTTGCAGTCACCCTATCACCACTCGTCTTCTAGAATGCGCGCGATCAAGTTCGTCCTGTCCATGAACGCCATTCTTCGCGGGACGCATGGCGAGGCACTATCGATGGCAGGAATTGGCCACGAGGATGTCTCGTCGCAGAGCTCAGTCAGAAGCTTGCGTGGCTCTGATGCTCTGCTCGACGACTCGACCGGAACCCGCTTCGTGACAAGTGGTACGAGCACTACCGAAGAGAGAAACCTCGGCCCATATCGCCTGATTGCGAACACTCTACTAAGCTTCCACCGACAAGTGTTTGAGAACCACTTCGTCTCTGCCATCACTGACGAGAACATCGGAATGTTGGCCAGCATTATCCAATTTGAAGCTGACAGCGTGTACGGGATTATCCATGCATTTGCACTCCATCCCGAACGCCTCGAGCTCACGTTTAGGAATCTCATGGGAGAGGGCACTTCACACGGGGCGACAGTCAGGGAGTTTGTCCGTGGCTATGCAGAGTATGTTGCTAACCAGGAGCGCATTGCGCGTTTGCACGCCGGAAACCAGTAAAAATATTCCAGCACTTTGGATTCGGCATCCTTTCTCTGGATATGTGTACCACTCTAATTTTGCAGGTAATAAGCTGAAAACCACAAAATTTTGCAATGTAAGACGTGAAAACTTCAGCTTTAACATCTTGTATCTTTCTGCTTCTCTCCCTGTAAGTTCTAGCTCGCTAAATTTTAATCCAATTCTACTTGCCATGTTGGATTTGACCTGAAGGCTCAAATTTACTTTCTTAAACAAATGAGTAGAAGTAATATGGTTTGGTTGCCTTCTATGAAATTTATTGCTCTAAAATAAGCAAAGGAGTCCGTTTTTTTTTGTTGAGAGTCTCACTAAAGCACAACTTTATTATACACCCACCCCCTCCCTAAAAAAGCAAAAAAGGGTCTTAGTGCGCCGCACTTTAAGAATCTGCAAAGGAATGTATTAATTATTCTCTGTATGAGAGAGCGCGATAAAAATCGAAAAAGTGTCACCCCTAATGTGTATAATCTCTTTGTAAGACTCGCTACCACTACTTTTGCTGCTCAAAATAATACGCAGCATACAATGTGACAGTTTTTCCATCAAAAGATTTGCTAAAGCCTTAATCTACCCTTATCGACTTCATAGAACCTTATACGTGACCTAAGAAAAATGCACGAAGAACAATTTGTAGGCGTGTCGCAGAGCTACACAGCTCTTTAAGTCAGATGAAGACTTATTCAACAAGACAACAGCTTACGGCTGACAGCATTTTAGTTCTACGGAGCTAATATATTAAGTTAAAGAGTTATCCAGTTCTACGGAACTCGGGTGGACTCTACGAGCTAACAGCTCGTACTACTGTATATCTAAGGAACTACACGCACAATGTGCGAAAGGGGAATACCGGAGTATATAGGCTCTCTAACCCACGACAGTTCTAAAGAACTGTCAAGCGCAAGGTGCGAAAGGGGGGGGAAGTCTAGGGACTTCTGCTTAAAATGAGAACTCAACTATATATAGATTCATATCAAGAAAATCCTACTTTATGTACCCTATTCTAAACTAAACTAGAACTAATACAAATACTAGTATTCAAACTAAAGGGATGGTTGCCACATCACTCAGTCATCAAATGATGACGGTACTAAGTACGTACACGGTAAGCACCGTAAACCTGGGAATATCGATCAGTCGATATTCTCTTGCTGATATACATCTAAGGTCAAACACATTCATCCATATCATTTAGGGGGGGGGTCATTGACCAATTTAGCCGATGGCTAGTGTGACCCCGTTACAAGTCGAGCTTATGGCGCATAGTTTACTGAAGACGCTATCACAAAAATGTAGAAGAATGACTTTTCAACGTAGACATTATGTAAATAGGAAGATTTAAATATACATTTTAGTTATCCTAATTTACTACTGATCCCACACGTCTACCCAGGTAAGCTTACCTTGTAACGAAGCAACCTGAAGCTTGTACTGGTGACAGTACAAGCTACTTATTCTGATGACAAAATAAGGCGGTGCCTCGTAACTTCACGTACACTCGTACGTGCAGAGGAAGACGGTAAGAAGAAGCGAGTACTTGGTTACAGTTATAAGTAGAACTATTTATAATAGTTAGTGTCTGCAATCAATCACTGTTTATCTTCATCTAACTATGTCTAAATACAAATGTGTATATCAACTATCTGCTCACCACTCATTGCGTGCGTCTGTCGTGGCGCGTCTTCGTTGGTTGATATAATGGCCTATATCAACCAATTAGGTACTACTCGTAAGTGCTGCAGAATATTTGTCCTTATGACAATATTCTGAGAATGTAGCTCTTTCAGTTATATTCTATTAACAATTTCTTATAAATTGTTAAGTAACGATTCACCCGGTTACATCACCCCCCATAACCATCAGTCACTTTAGTGACTGTTTGACTTAATGGATACTCGTCCCAAATGATTTGGGACGGGGTTTGCACTTGTTGGTCCGATTTCACATCCATCAGTTTCATCGCATGGTTAACAAGCCCATGCGATGCGCGAGCAAGGCCGCCGAGAGCGCGTCCGCACGTCTCTGTGCGGACGCCAAGGCAGAAACCACAGCAACTGATGTCTCATCGGTTGCTGAAGCGTCCCAGCCTGTATCACCTGGTGATGCAGGCGCTCGTCATGAAGACACTTGTCAGACCGCTAGGTACGTACGGCCTAGCACAAGAGTAATTACAGCGTAAAAGGTAAAAAAGGATAAGTCTGACGTCATTGGAGGACGTCACAGTCTGACGTCATCAGCTGACGTCATTAGATGACGTCACTGAAGAAGCTTCCAGAAGGGTAGGCTTAGAATAGCACAGGGTAGCGAACTAAGGACCTACATTAATTCAGTTTCCAATTAACCTAGTGAACGAGAAGTCATCACATCTGGTAGCACTTGTTGGTCTCGCCGTCTGCCGTCCCCGCCGTCTGCCGTCCCTGCCGTCTGCCGTCCCCGCCGTCTCTGCCATCGTAACCATCGTAACCGTAGTAACCGTCGTAGCCGTAGTAACCGTCGTAGTCGTCGTCGTCGCTCAAGAGCAGTGATCTGGAGAATCCATCGTAAGTCCCAATCTTTTTTTGGGCAGGGAATCCTTTTCATTGGCTGTAAATCCTGCCGGGCCATTATCACTGCTACCGTTATCGAGGTCGTGGTCTTATTGACTATAAATCGACTCGTTTCGGGAATAAGTCAGTTTGGTTAACGGAAGGTTAGTACTTCGGTTCATGACCCGCCACCCGCGCAAGCAACCTACGCCACTCGACATTAACGACTCGCTGGCACAGCTATCCGTGACAAAGCCGGACGCAGCCGACAAGTGCCGTGCGGACCTACTGGAAGCAACCGTCGCACCAGACGCATTATTGTCCGCTTCGAGAAGCACTTGGACACGGCTCAGCGCTCCGACTCGCGCAAACACATCAAGACTCGGCTTGTGGCGCACGCTAGCGACTTGCTCAGCTTTGAGAGCACTGTGAGCCTGCGCATCTCACGCGAGATATCCAAGCACACAAGCAAAACCGCCCGAGTCCCGTATTCTGGACCACCAGGGTACAAGGTCGTGCTCGCCCGTCAACAACCGACTGCCAAGTCAACTAAGTCCTGGAAGCCCGGATCAAAGGTTATCAAGAGAAGTACCAAGACCATAGCTCCACCAAGTACAATTAACTAATCGTTATAATCAGTTAGTTCTGTACCGTTACATAATGTCCACCCCAATGACGTCCGATCAGCATGCACAACTGCTGCAATCGATGGTTGCGACAATGGAGAAACAATCGCTGTTGCTAGAGCAGTTTCAAAGGTCCACACAATTATCGGAAATAAAGCTTGAAGGTGTAAAGCTTCCGACGTACGGTGGCAGATTGGACGAATCGTTCCTTTTCTACAAGGAGCAAGTAGAGCAATATTTCTTCGCAAAAGGAGTGAACTAGAGTGTCATGAGCTCTCTCTCCGCATACTAGCCATTTTGGGGGGCACACTAAAGCACGGAGCTGCTCAGTGGTATGTCATGCAAAAGCAGTACATCACAACCGTGGACGACTTCTTCTTCAAGATAGAACGGGAAATCGTTCCAGCTGATCTACAAGAGCGTCTGCGGGAAGAAATGAATGATATGAGAGAGCGCGATTGCAAGGACCTCCCTGACTATGTAGGCAAGTTTCGCCACGTGGTAACTCAAGTCCAAGACATGAGCGAACTGGACAGGATTATGTACTTCCTACGCGGACTTTCCGGTCGTACGCGAGAAGAGGTCCAGTACCGTCGCTGTACAACGTTGTCAGACGCTATTACTGTTGCGTTAGACTTTGACCGTTCTCATCCGACGAGGTATTCCTGGGGCAGGTCACAGGATAAACCTAGGTACCGGTCATACGACAATGATCGTCGATATCAATCCAACACTGGCCCAGAGCCAATGGACGTTAGCACTGTGCAGATTCCATCTCGGGACGAATGTCGTCGACGAAATTTGTGTTTCAAATGCGGTAGTCCGCATCATCGCTCCGCACAGTGTCATCAGCGCCCCACGCGTTCTGTTCGAGAAAACACTAATGCTGGACGGAACTATCAACATCAGGTACATCGTCAGCATGTAAACAATGTGGACAGTCGTGAGGACGACCAGGACACAAGTGTTTACGACCGAGTCACGATCAATGCAGTGGAGGTACAAAAGGATTCTGAGGTACCATTCATTGCCATCCACTCAAGTAGCTCGGGGGCGGACATACCAGCGCAAAGTCGACTACTCGTTCGTGATGGTGTTATTGGTAATAAACCCGTCAAGATTTTGATTGACTCTGGAGCGTCAACGAATCTGATCAAACCCGGTCTGCTGTCCACAGTTCTCAACGAACAGATGGTACAAGCACGACGTTTTAATGGTACCTGGACATCAAGTCAACCCACAAAGCAGGTGGAAGATACCATTTTAATCGACGGTATGGAGTTCCCTAAGATGCAGTTTACAGAATGGGATCTACCGGATACACATGACTTGTTATTTGGTCAACCATGGTTTACCATGTACAACCCCCAGATCAACTGGCGTACACAACAAATTGAAGTTGCAGCACACACGACGTTCAAAGACGTGGACGGGCCGACATTTCATGCGAAGATGACTCGCGGAGCCTACAAGGAAACATATCAATTAAAGGTTACCACCATAGACCATCAGGAGATACCGCACGAGCTACAGCCAGTGCTAGACGAGTACAAGGACGTATTTCCCGACCAACTTCCAGAGGTAATGCCTCCAACGCGATCGGTCAACTTTGAGCTACAACTGAAGCCTGATGCGGTGCCGAGCTCTCGGGCCCCCTTCCGTCTATCGAAAGTGGAGCAGGAGGCGCTCCAACAATTTGTGGAGGAGAATATACGGAAAGGATGGATCGAGGTGTCCAACTCTCCATGGGTTTCAAACATATTTGGGATTCCAAAAAAGGATCCTGTAACCGGGCGGTTCCCTAAACGCGCAGAATGGCTCCGCAGCGGAAATTCCAAGATCCCCATTAGATGGGTCATTGACTACCGATATGTTAATAGCATGTCTGTCGTGGCAAAAATTCCTTTGCCGTTGATCGAGGAACTGTTCGACCGCATGGTGGGATGTAAGTTTTTTACGCTTCTTGATCTTGCGCAAGGGTACCATCAAATGGTAGTCTTACCATCAAGTAGACCCTATACGGCTTTTCGCACCCATAAGGAAACGTATCAATGGTGTGTAGCACCCATGGGTTTATCTGGAATGCCTGGTGTCTGGTCGCGGCTAATGCGAACGTTGTTCGACCAATTCGGAACCTTTGTCGTGGTGTATCGTGACGACATATGTATCTTCTCCCGTACAATGGAGGACCACGTCGGCCACGTTCGCGCAGTATGTGCCGTGTTACGCAAGGAGAAGGTTTATGCTCGACTCTCCAAATGTGCGTTTGGTCGTAACGAGATTGCATTTTTAGGGCATATGGTTTCCGACGAAGGTCTGCAGGTCGACCCAAAGAAGACCGATGCTATTGCACAGTTTCAAGCTCCGACGTGTCGCAAGGAGCTGCTGAGTTTTCTCGGGCTGGCTGGGTATTACCGTCGCTTCATCTGCGATTTTGCCAAGCTTTCACGTCCTCTTCGAGCATTAACCAAACACGATACTCGCTGGAGCTGGGGGGAGGATCAACAGCGATCATTTAACGCGTTAAAACTCGCACTTCAGCAGGCTCCGACGCTAAAGCTGCCAGACTTTACGCACCCTTTTATTGTCACTACGGATGATTCTGGGTTCTGCATGGGCGGTGTCCTCTCTCAGCGCATCAATAACAGCGACCATGCCATCGCATTTTATTCGAAACATCTGGGCCCCCACGAATTAAAATGGACCGCTCATGAAAAAGAGCTGCTAGCAATCAAGACTGCTTTAGAAAAATGGCGCCCGTATCTCCACGGACGACACTTTTCAGTCTACACCGACAATTCAGCGTGCAAATGGATGCTACACCATCCTAAAGTGTCGCCCAAGATGGCACGCATGCTGACGTTCTTTTCCCAGTTCGACTTTGTCTTACATCATGTTAAAGGATGGTCTAACGTCGTGGCCGATGCATTATCTCGACCGGCCGTATCCGAAGATCCCTCCAGCGTGCGCGCTGTGCCTACGTGCCCAGTTCCCGATCTGTCGCACGTCGTACATGAATGTACGGATGCTTGTGCCCTCAACTCTCCCTATTTGCAGCAACACATGGTTCACTCCGCTCTCATGCGGTCCATTCCGCTCGAAGTCGCACACCTCTTACTTGACGATGTGGAGTTGCGGGGGGAGTCTCGTCCGATAGGAATCGCTCAGGAGCAAATCCACAACGCTGCGTTTCACGTGGTGCGCGCACATCTCAGTGACAAAGTGCGAAAAACTATCTAGCAAGGATATCACACAGACAAGTTTTTCCAAAAGATCTGGAGAACTCAACAATCGAAGGAGAACTTCATAATCGACAAAGGAGTCATATATGTCAAACAAGACGAGGCAATGCAACAGATATGCATCCCAGACATACCAGAAATAAAGACGAAGATTCTATACGAGTTTCACGATGCAGCCACAGCGGCACATCCCGGAGTGCGCCGAACTTACATAAAGCTAAAGCAATGGTACTACTGGCCGAAGATACTTGAAACCGTGCAGAAGTACGTGGAGACATGTGAAACATGCGCGTGATGAAAGTCTAACAGCCAGCGGAAGAAAGGATTAATGATTCATATTCCCGTTCCGGAAGAATGCTGGGAAGTAGTATCAATGGACTTCATTACTGGGCTACCCGTGTCGGAAGGCTATGATGCTATTTGCGTCGTCGTAGACAAGTTGTCAAAGAGGCCGATTTATGCACCGACATATACGACTGCCGATTCGAAAGACACCGCAGATCTATTTTTCGACGCTGTAGTCCGACATCATGGATTGCCGAAGGTTATTATCAGCGATCGGGATCCAAAGTTCACGGCGAACTTCTGAAAATCACTGATGAATATAATGGGTGTCAAGCTAAGCATGACGACCGCTCATAGAGCGCAATCAGATGGGCAAACGGAGCGCCAAACCTTGGTGTTGGAAGACGCTTTACGCTGCCTGGTATCGTACAGTGGCGACAATTGGGTCAAACTACTGGGTACTGTAGAGTACGCGCACGCTACATCGGTGAACGCATCTACTAAGCTCACCCCGTTCGAAATCGATACTGGGAGAAAGGTATCCAATCTAATTTCGCATGAATACGGAGGCCACGCTGATCTGGGCTCCCATTCAATTTCAGAATTTGCCTCCAAGTTTGCCAACGATCGTCAAAAACTAGTACGCAAGGCACGCGAAAACCTGGAACAAGCCCAGGAAAGGCAAAAGAAGCACTACGACTCGAAAAGAAGAAGCGTTACTTTCAAAGTAGGTGAATTAGTTCTGTTGGATGCCAAGAACCTACCGCTTAGAACAGTGAACGCTCACGTTGATCTAAAGAAAGCAAAGCTGGCAGCAAAAAAAGTGGGACCGTTTAAGATAACCAGGATGGTCAATCCGAACGTAGCCAAGTTAAAGCTACCATGACATATGAAGAGACTGCACTCCTCATTCAACATTGACCTACTCTTCCCATACAAGCCAAATGCCTCCGAGTTCGCTGGACGACCAATTCCGAAAGCAGCACCAGTTATATTAGAGCGAGACACCGGAGAGCAACTACACATTGTGGAAAGCTTGCTTAGTCGTCGTCAGCGCAATAGCCAAAAAGAATGGCTAGTCAAATGGCATGGCCTCCCGGAGTGTGACAGTACTTGGGAGCGCGAGAGATCTATCCGCCACGTTTCGCATTGGCAGCAACTAGTCCAAGATTTTCGAGACGGCCAACGCGAATTTAAGTCCAGGGAGATGTCAGGCCGCTAGGTACGTACGGCCTAGCACAAGAGCAATTACAGCGTAAAAAGTAAAAAAGGATAAGTCTGACGTCATTAGAGGACGTCACAGTCTGACGTCATCAGCTGACGTCATTAGATGACGTCACTGAAGAAGCTTCCAGAAGGGTAGGCTTAGAATAGCACAGGGTAGCGAACTAAGGACCTACATTAATTCAGTTTTCAATGTACCTAGTGAACGAGAAGTCATCACAACACTCATGTCTTCACAGAGTATGAGCTCGGAGTCTCATACTCTCCTGATACGGAAGAGGGATCCGTATCGAAGGCGGTTGAAACCACGCCGCCTGCCAAGCGTGGCATGGATTATGCCATGCGTCGTAGCATCTTTGGTTCATCTGATGAATCAGATGAACCATCGCCGAAGCGAAGGCGCTCGAAGTCGCAAGACTCGGGCGCTAACAGTGGTGTCGGTTCTCCTATTGACACTACTTCGCAACGAGGTACCAGTACTTCTGTCGGCACGTCGCAGGAATAGCGGGACTGCAGTGTGTTGCGTCTCGCTTCAGAAAAGAAAGCATAGCTGCCTCCAAAGACGGTCATGGATCACTTGTCGGCGACGACGAGTGATCGTTATCGAACACGATTGTTCGATTCGTCAAGGATCCATCACCTTGACCCCAGCGCGAAAAAGTATCGCGCTGAACATGAGTTCTTCATCGATGCTTTCTTTAGACATAGATGGTACAGTGGGAATCACAAGCGTGATGGTCCCTCACTACTTCAAGCGTGGAACGCCTACATCCATAACCTTGAGGATGTAGGTCGTGACGCTTGGAACGACAAACTTATCAAAGCTCGTGATAAGTTTGAAAAGCGAACCCCGACTGGGGCACGCTACAATCTGCATCGTCTGTCTAAGGAGGGTGGGTTACCCTGCCTCTCTTGGGGAGACGCGTGCCCATGTTGTGTGAACAACTCTGCACGAGAACCTAAAGAGGCTTACCACCTTACTGGCCTGTGGTGGCGCGTACGTATCTCTGCTGAGATTTACGAAGGGATTGACAACCTGAAATCCCTTTATGACCGTGCCGGGAAGACTTTCTCCGGCGGTCCTTCTGCGGCACATGATGTGCCGCGTCGTACTGCTCAACAAGACCCAGTATGTCAACCATCAGTTGGGAGCGGGGCTCCCAAGAATCCCAGGACGGGGGATAGCCGCGCCACCGGACGAGATAACTCGTCCGACGTCCGTTCACGTCGCGGTGGTTCAACAGCTGCTCAACTAGATAGCGCTGGCCACCGCAAGAGTCCTCTAATGGAGATGGAGGAGGAGGGAAAACGCTCCCCAATCTATCGTGGGGGAGCGTGCGTTCCCGAGAGCTTCTTTGTTCGCGTAACGCAAGGGTTACGCGACGATCTCGAACATGAGCGTGACAGGCGTCTCCAACTGGCGTACACTGTCTCGAGGCATCGAGCTGAGTTTGCCTTTGCTCAGCTTGAGAACGAGAGATCTCTGACATCTCTTCGTGACGAGCTAAGGGTAGCTCGTGGGGATGTTGACCGTTCTCGGGATGAGATAACTGCTCTTCAGACCCTTGTCGATGGCCACCATCGGGAGCACAAGGCTCTCTGCGAGATGCTTGAGCGCAAGGGCGTTCTTCATCGGAAGAAGCAGCGTACTGATGGTACGGCTTAAGCCGACCAACATAAAACGTGGGATGCGTTCGCATCTTACGTGGTAACTCGATCGTGTATGCATTGCCTTGGCGGTGCAATACACGAAATGGGCCGATGTACTTGGGTAGTAGTTTACTGCTACCCAAGTTAGTCACTACATGCTTTGGTAGATTAACCGTAGACAGTAGGACTAAGTCACTTTTATTAAATAAAAGAGTGTTTGCCCTTCCATTCTTGTCAGCGTTTTGCTTTTGCTTATCCACCGCTTCGGCGATGGAGTCTTACACATAACGGACTACCGTTTCACGAGCCAGTATGAACTCATCTGATGACTCGTTAGCTTCAGTGCGCTGTGAGCGCACTGCAGCAACATCAATATTTTCTTCAGTGAGGGCTTCCGCACTCTCACTGGCATCATCTTCTTCGATATCGATATTGGCATCAAACGCAATGACGTCTTCGTCAGAGCGTGATGAGCGTGAAACAATTCGGTTTTTGCTCGCGCGAGTCCCTCCCCCCCTTAAACCAGAGTTACACTCGAGTAGGGTGGGTACACGCGGATGGCGCAAGCCATTCACGTAAAACGGTGTATGTGTCGTGGACGCATGCACCGAGTTGTTGATGGCAAACTCTACCATCGGCAAAAACTCACTCCAACTCTTAAAGGAGTGTACGTATCCTCGAAGTATCTCTTCGAGGACACGGTTGGATCGTTCCGTCTGACCATCGGACTCTAAATGATCAGATGTCGACACCTTCAAGCGCGTTCCGAGTGATTTGAACACGGAACGCCAGAAATCAGCAGTGAATCGTGGATCTCTGTCTGATACGAGTTCACGTGGCAACCCACCAAGTCGGAAGATGCTGTCAAAAAAGACACAAGCACAGCAACTTGCTGTGATTGACTCGGGTACAGCCACAAGGTGTACCATTTTGCTGAATCTGTCAACAAATACGAGAACCGTATTCCTGCGTTCGTCTTTGGGTAACCCGAAGACAAAATCCATTGAGTTGGATTCCCAGCACTCTGTCGGAACTGGTATACACTGTGAAGGTGCACGCAGTGAAGGACTTGACTTCACTCGTTGACAGACTTCGCATGCGCGAACATACTTTCGCACAAACTGATACTGGCGGGGCCAGTAAAAGTCTCGTCTCACCGTGAGATATGTTTTCTCCCGGCCACGATGTCCTCCTATAGGAGCATCTTGATACTCGAACATGATTCGCAAACGCAAATCAGTATCATCTGGGATGACAACACGCGGTGTGTCACCAGTAACGGCTGTAAAATACAGTAAACCGTTACGAGCAGTGTATCGACCTGGTGCAGATCGATACGCAGACGACAATCGTTTCAAAGATTCTCGAGATGGTTGGGAGAGATGTGTTGGCAAATTCACAATCTCACCATCTTGGGCGTATGGCCGCCTCACATCATCAAACGACGTTGTAGATGGGACTGAGGACGTCAGAACCGCAACAGTGGCTGTCTCACTGTTGGGTTTCGCGACTGTTTCAAAGTCGGGACGACGTGAGAGTGCATCAGCGACGACATTAAGTCGTCCTGGTTTTTACTCTACCGTAAAGTTGTATTCTGCAAAGAATGACAACCACCGCGCCATTCGTTGTGAAAGGTGCGGGATGTTCACTGCCGTGCGTAATGACGCATGGTCAGTGTAAACAACGAAGGGTCTATCTCCTAATAGATAGACTCTGAACTTCGCGAGTGCATACTTCATGGCAAGGAATTTCTTGTCATGCACTGGATAGTTCTGCTCATCTGGTTGCAGCTGACGCGACTGATAGCAGACGACGCGTTCAACGCCTTCAAGATCGTACTACATTAATGCACAGCCGATTGCGAAATCGCTGGCATCACAGACCACATGAAATGGCCTGTCCTGATCGGCAATTGCTAGGACTGGGGATTGTATCAAGCTCTGCTTGATGCCATCAAAGGAGCGCTGACATTCAGCGTTCCATAATCACCTCTCGTTCTTTTTCAACAAACGAGAGAGGTGCACAGTCATCTCGGCGTAATTGCGTGAATACCTGTGCAAATACGCTGCTTGCCCAAGGAATTTTCGAAGACCTTTGACATCAACCGGCACAGGCCAGTCGGTGATGGCCTTGATCTTTTCAGGATCAGGACGTACACCGTTCTTACCAACGGTGCACCCAAGAAGTGGTATTTCGCTTGCTGCAAATATACACTTCTTGAGATTAGCATACATTGATTCTTTCGCATGATTGTAAGAACCTGTCGGACGTGGTACCTGTGAACCTCAAAACGTCCGAGTTTCCATCCATAGCCCGACTATGGATGAATACGTCATCGAAATAACTCGGTGCGAATTCTCGTACTGATTTCAACGGGTGTGATACACATCTGTTTAGCATGGCAGGGGCATTTCTAAGCCCTTGTGGCATTACTAGCCATTCCCAGAGTATGCCGCTAGGCGTGCTAACTGCGGTATAGGGTATGTCCCGTTCTCTCATAAGGATTTGATAGAAGCCATCCATCATATACATGGACGAAAAGATGGTACTCTTTGACATACCATCAATGATTACGTCCTTCCTCGGTATCGGCGTCTGAGCCGGTACCGTTGCAGCATTCAACTTGTTAAATGCATACACTATCCGCCACCATCCTGTTGCTTTTCGCACACAGAAGGTCGGAGAGCTATGTGGGGAAGTTGATTCCCTCACATGGCCCGCAGCTAAACGATCAGCAAAGAACTTGTCGATTGCAAGTACTTGTTCACGAGGCAGTGGCCACTGCTTCATGACACAGTACTTCGAGCCTGGTTTAAGCTCGACCTCGTGTCGAATACCTTTATCCTTAGGTAATTCGCACGGAACAGTTTCAGGGAATGCATCCTTGAATTCAACCAAATCTTCATAGAGAGGATTTGTCTTGAGCGATTCCCACGATTGGGAGTCATATCGCCCAACTCGTGTCTTTTCATCTAGGACATTCTCGTCCATAGATGAACTACTGAGAACTCTCTCGTTCTCAGTAAACACTGTTGCTGACCTCATGTCGGCTACACACTCGTCGTCAGCGACGAGTACGCAGATCTGCTTGACTTTGCCACTACGCAGATCACGCAAGAACCTTTTATGTTCGAGCGTTGGCAACTGAGTGATCTCCGAAGTTAACTTCGGAGGCACAATCAGATCAAGTGTATAAGCGCCTACACTTGATCATCATCGACTAGGACATTCAATGTCTCTGTCATTTCCTGGGGACTTATTCCCTCAGGCTTCGAAGGACTTATTCTTTCGGTTTCCCGGGGACTTATTCCCTTGGGTTTCGGGGAACTTATTTCCGCCGTATTTGTAATCTTGGGACTTATTCCCTTTACTTCCTCTAGCTGGGGTTGCGCAACCACAGCGAGATCCTCTACGAAAGACTCTCCAGTCGATCTAGGATTATCGTTTCGCTTAACCTGAGCGATCGATTGTTTCTCTTCTAGATGTTCCCCGCTAGGGATACATCTTTGTCCCGGTCCACTCGACTTTTTCGAGTGGTGGACCTTCGGCGCAGCCTGTGTTTCCTCACAGCTGCCGGAACTTTGCTCCGAAGTGTAACCGTTTGTTACACTAAGGTTTTTGCAGTCGTACTAACGACCGTACCACAAGTGAGGCCATCGCACTCACTCGTAGTACATCCACACGCTTGTGGACGCTCCAAAACGTTCATCAGATGGCCATCTGATGAACAAGCGGCAGGCATCGTTACTGTTCGATGTTGCCAGTTAACCCGTGGTTCGTACCTTCTGAGCCATGGTATTCCAAGGATGACATCAAATTTGTCATCCAAATCCAATACGATAAAGTCATCGTCATATTGGGTATCTTCTAGCGTATAGTGGATCTTCACTATACGCTTCATGACGGTTTCGGATGCGCCTGTCGCAATAAGTACCGTCATCCTCGTAGGAGGTGTGTCACATTCAATAAACTTGAAGTGACCATCTTCTAGCTATTGGCGTCGCACAAAATTGTTAGACGCCCCACAATCGACTAGAGCTCGAAGGGACAACTTATTTGTCACTTCGAGTTTTAAGGTAATAAGTGAGATCTCATTACCTAGAGCAGCAACGCACAACGTTTGTGTGTTGGGAGCAACCTTCATCAAGAGGCCTACAAATTCTCTTGACGTTGCTGGACCAGTGGGTGCTCCGCACCTACTGATCCTGTCCATTTTTTGACGGTCCATCCCGTTGTTGCGTCTTTGCGCCAACAGCGGACCCGCGTCTCTGCCCTTTTCTCATGGGTGGACGGTCACTACGCCCAGTGGTGCAAGACACTGGACGAGGGGCACTACACTCGTAAGCGTAGTGTCCTGTCTTTTGACATCCGTTGCATCTCTGCAACTTCTTGTAGTCTGTAGAGCGAGCCTTCTCGCTCTCTACATAACAGAGTTCCATCGGGTCTGGACCTCCGCTGTCATATCGTCTCTTTGTACGATATGATGTCGAGATGGCGCGAGCCTGTCTCAGACTGTCCGCAATGGAAATGTCTTGTTCTAATGAATCTAGTTCAAGTCGGAACAGGTGAGTCTTGACGGGACCATCCGCAAGACCCTGCATGGACACCGAAACCAACGTGTGTTCATCAACCGGGTTGGAACTTATACAACTCGTAAGCGTGTACATCACGCTTACCCTGTTTGAGCTTCAAGAGTTCGATTCGAGCTCTGAACTCAGCTCTAGGCGGTTCAAACGTTTATCTGAGCCACCACCTGAAGACTTCTAACGACCCAAACGCATATTGGTCGTGCAACTTGAGCCCCAGTGCCCAAGTCTTGGCACGTCCTACCAGAATGCAAATTGCATATCCCCGTCGTCGATGCGACGCGCCCTTATGGCGTCGTCTAATTCGACGAAACATCTCAAGAAGGAGTCCTCTTCGACTCCCCTATACTTGAAGATGTCAATCTTCAAGGTTTCTGGTCGACGCGAGTGCATCGACCCACCAGCAGCAGCCTGCTGCTGTCTCAACAGTTCAAACTGTTGAGCACCCTGTTCTCTCAACAACTCTGATTGTTGAGAACCTTGTTGGTGAAGCAAGGCTACTTTCTCGCGTTTAGCGTCAAGTTCATTTTGAATGAACTTGGCGATAGTAGCATGTTGGGCATCTCTATTGAGAGCCTCTAGCATGACGCTAACAGCATGGATGCCCATGGTTGAACCCATTCGTTCAACCGCATCCCATTCGACATCGATCAAATGGGAGTAGCCGTCACGCGCAACGTGAAAGCTTTGGTCATCTTCATCATCTAACATGTTCATGTTAGATGTGATCGTGGTCCTTGGACGGACTACGAAGTGCTACCAGGTGTAACGGGGCACCCTGAAGCTTGTACTGTCACCAGTACAAGCTACTTATTCTGACGACAGAATAAGGCGGTGCCTCGTAACTTCACGTACACTGGTACGTGCAGAGGAAGACGGTAAGGAGAAGCGAGTACTTGGTTAAAGTAAAAAGTAGAACTGTATTTAGCATAGTTAATGTCTGTAATAAACCCCCTGTCTGTAATAAACCCCCTGTCTGTAATAAACCCCCTGTTCATCCTCATCTAACTATGTCTAAATGCAAATGTGTGTATCAACTATCTGCTCACCACTCATTGCGTGCGTCTGTCGTGGCGCGTCTTCGTTGGTTGATGTAATGGCCTATATCAACCAATTAGGAACTACTCGTAAGTGCTGCAGAATATTGTCCTTATGACAATATTCTGAGAATATAGCTCTAACAGTTATATTCTATTAACAATTTCTTGTAAATTGTTATGTAGCAATTCACCTCTTTATACCGCTTCGTTCTTGAGTCGCACGCTGCGCTGCCTCCCGTAGCGCGCACAGCGAGGAAAACCCCCCGCCTGTTTACATTGGTCCTACTATAGAGGACTTCCCGCTCAAGGAAAGAGGCCCCCACATCTTGGGCAAGAAGTCATCCATAGGCCAGTTCACGGCCTAACGAAGGGACACGGCCTCGTATTTGCGAACATTTCATCGAGCAACTCCAATCTTACGGCGAATGCGCTATAGCTTTGTGCCGCGAGTAAGTGTTATACTAACTAGCCTACGGATCACTTAACATGGCACGTTCCATACATTCGCCTTTTCCGCGGCTCAAGCTCACTATACTCATTCGCGATCTCGTCATCGCTGACGCAACTGTGTCTATACATGTCCGGGAAGTCACTATTCTCAACGTAGTGGCGACGGACGCGGCACCACGCGTTTTATTTTCTTTGCGTTTTACCAAGGCTCGATCACTTTTTAGAGTATGCGACCATTGCATGTTTATATGCTATGGACGACCCGTACATGTGCTAGGGCGTAAATGGACCGCGACCGATGCTGGCTGTTAGTGATGCAAGCGCAGGAGTCCTTCATGCTTTAGCCGGTCTTATTGAGGTATCCACACGACGGCATTTTTTAATTTTAGAAACGAAGAGCTGAGCAACTACGTTTTCGATCAAAGCTTGAGGATGTAGCGATAGGATAGAGATCAGGTCCATTCGAATGCAGAAGTCAGAATGTAACTGTTTCAGCCTTCGACTGCAGACAAACTACGTAAGACTTTTACGTATGCGAATAGCTGGACGCATCCTCATACTCTAGAGAAAATGGCCTGAGATTTCTGCAAAGGCCCCTGTCGCGAGAGAAGTACATCGGTTGAGCCAGACTACTACCTTTTTTGTGATCAAAGATCTTTTAACACAGTTTAAAAATGTCCTGTTAAATGCGGAGCTATAAGTTCAGATCCGGCTTTTCCGGCGGTAGGCCCTGGGCTCCCCAGACGGGCCTGATGACCCTTCTGGAGCCCGTTTAAGCAACTCGATGCAGGCAATTAGCACAGCGCCCATAATGGCACATGACTCTTCTCGGTGCTCTGGGATTGCTATTGCACGTAATTGGCAGACGCAAGATGCCCAAAAGCTCTGCGTGGTTGCGGATAGTTCAGTAACTGCAGCTATGTAGACATATTCGTTCCTGTCGATCCACAGCTTTGTGTGACACATTGTCACTAGCATGTGCCACGTTCCTTACCAAACTCGTTCGGACACTTTCCGATCGTCCTGGAAGCGGTCCTCCAGAGTTGCTGTTCGGAGCGCTAGTACATTGTATACTTGTCGACTAGCACACGCATTAAATAAATGCTAAGTTTGCTGTCTTAATATCCGCTCACCTGTCCAACATCCCACTATTTTGTCCCAAATTGAATCAGCGTACGAGCACTCCAGAATACATGAGCCGGTGTCTCCTTGCCCCCCCGGGAAAACCAGTCGCTTTATACAGTCGCTGTTCTCGTCTCTCCCAGCATGTAGGAGATTAGTTGCCTGGTTGCTATTGTGGTGAATAGGTCAAAGGAAATCTTAACCAACCGCCTTGATCATCTCGTAAGTGCATGTAGGACCCGTCATGCCGGTCTTGGGACTACCCGCTACAGAGACCCCCAACGATAAGCGGGACGGTTTGCAAGTCATCAGTTGCGGTCGCAGATTATGACCACCGGTAAGGTCACGACGATTGACTGACCTGTCATGGTCACTATGGGCGACCGGTGGTCATAGTCACGATGGGTGACCAGTGGTCATGGTCACGATGGGTGATCAGTGGTCACGGTCACGATGGGTGACCAGTGGTCATGGTCAAGATGGGTGATCAGTGGTCACGGTCTTGATGGGTGACCAGTGGTCACGTTCAAGATGGGTGACCAGTGGTCACGGTCACGATGGGTGGCCAGTGTTCATGGTCACGGTCACTGCAAGATGACCAGCGGTCATGTTGGCAGTTAAGTTGGTCTTCTTCAAGCACAGGGAATGGGTGGTAGCAGGCGAACAACGTAGCAGACAACTGAGATAAAGAGAAGTGTAAACGTAGTTCTAGCCCCTAATAGGTTAATAACGACTAGTATTGATTTTCCTACAAAAGACACGCATCAGCATTCCTCCGGGATGGAGTGCTAGTGGCTATCCGACGTAAAAGGTTTCTGTCTACGTGTTTGCTCAAGGTTTGTCCCTGGATTGCTTGGCTAGGGACGAGTATACTCATTCAAGTTATCCCGCGATCGGACGCGGCAAGCATACAAGGCAAGGTCTTCAGACGGCTCAAGTGATCAGAAAGACAAGGTGATCAAGTGGTCAGAGGAACAAGGGGATTCAGTATCCACATTTGGGCAAGACGACTTCAAGGAAGGTCAGACAGCTCTAGGAGAGTGCCACTAGTAACCGTTGGCCGTGTGAAGAATCACCACGCGACCACACCCCACCTATCCTCAACTCGGTCAAGACAAGACATCGACCTCAAGACACCTAGAAGAGTGCAGCCGCCCGCCGATTGGTACACAAGGTGAGAAGGAACAAGGAAAGACAAGACACACGGTCCGGAGTACCCCCTCCGTTAGTCGGTCGTCCGGGCGCAAGTGGGGAGTCAGGATCGCTACGCGAATGAGCGAATCTCACTCCACCACAAAGGTGCGCGTGCCCGGATCTTCTGATGCCTCGGGTTTTCACCGTGAATCCCAGAGCAAAGATGCCAAGGTCAAGATTAAACCGGGGATGGAATTGTCGGCGAAGAAGGGATCGTCGCAGACACGTGATTATAAAGAAACCTCAATTCGGCAGAGTTTTGGAAGGGGCTCGAAAGAATCGAAATTCAAAGAGGAAGATGGCCAAAATGATCTTGAAGTAGAAAAACCTCTTTCTCTCCTGAGGTCCCTCCAGGGACCGCGGGTCGTACTTTGCAGTACGATCCGCGGTCATGAAACACGTCCAGCCAAAGTAGGACACGTTTCGTCTAAAAACAAAATCATACACAAAGTCAAAGAAAAGGATCGAAGGCTACGGATCTTAAGCTACGCGCGCCTGACTCCGAGGGTGATGATCAAGAAATGAGCAGGGCAGCAGCGGTCAAGATGGAAGGTTGAAAGATCGATCAGCTGCAACGTCGTTTGCACTGGACCCAGCTTCAAGCGTTGCTATCAGCAGACCCAGTGATGACCATCTTGGAACCGGAGCTGATCGGACCGCTTCGGGGGCCGACATCGACTCCACAAGCAGCCACTGGAAAAATGGAAGCAGTGCAACGTCTCATTCAACTGCTACAATGCGCAGGATTTGTGCCCGGGGGCGTTTGACGCGCAGGTTCTGCTTGACTGCGACCTGGATCAAGTGATCACGGCCAGCCGATCACTGTTCAAAGCGCTAGTCCCACTGACCGGCAGCTTTGACTCCGCTGACCGCGAGGTCACGACCAGTATCATGGTCAAAGAGAAAGACTGTACACAGGGGGGTCGTCACATTACCCTTCGGTGGAGTCGATTGCGGACGATAGCGACGGCTTGGAAATAAAGCGATCGTCGTTTGGACCTTCCGGTGCAGCACTTTACGTGATCACCACGAGCATTTGACTCCAACCACCGGACCGTTGAGACAAACCACAGAGCCAGTCGATGCTACGAATGACCCCGAACAGATGAAAATCTACTTTGCAAAGGCCATGGAAAAGTTTATGCGAGACCAAGAGCGACGGCCGCTACATTCTGAGCCGACCAGTCGCCCCAACCCCAACTACACGGTGTTCGGGGTAGGTATGCCAGACACGGACATGGAATCGGCCGACTCGCATGGTAGTCGCGGTAACACTTTTGACCCTGACGACCTCGACATTGACGGCGTCCGTCGACCTCACTTGGCTACTACGGAAGCCATTATGAGGGAAGGATTTGCTGCGCAGCGGATTTCCATGCCTGCGATCGCCGATCTAAAGGAGTTCTCAGGCCGCTATCACGATGATTACCGCGCTCGAAGCTGGGTGCGAAAGGTCAAATCAGCTTTCTTGCGTGACCAAGCCCCCGATTCGGAGAAATGTTTGATTTTTGAAGATTTGCCAACAAGCCAGCACGAAACTGGCACTCCCAGCTAAGCCGATCGACACGCAATAATTAGAAAAGACTTGCTAGAGAGTTTTCTACTACAATACCGTGGACGCGGCATCTCTGCTGGTCGCCAGTATTACCACGCCTGCAAGCGTGCCGATGAACCCTTGCTAAAATACCTCTATCGGTTGAACGTTGCTGGGATGCGAGCGAAAATCCACGTGAAGGACGGGAACGTCGCTGATCGACGAGAACACGTGGAACACTATATCGAGACACTGAATGACCACCATCTTGCAAAGCACACAAATGAGCGTATGCAAAAGCGCAAAGGCAATCTCCCGATCAGTTCAGCATTGTCATGCTCTCCAAGTCCATCCAAACCGGCTCGAGCTGTGCGTGGAATCCACGTGGGGCGAGATCAGTTCGTCGGAATCAGATGTAAGCAGTGCGTAATCAGAAGTAGAACAGCGACGTGTTTACAGCGCCACAGCAGCCGACCATACGAAGGACTGGGGAAGTGATCGTCCGACTAAGCCAAGATCGAATGACCGTGAACGTTATCACGATCGTGCAGAAGGGCACAAGTCGTGCACTAATTGTGGGTCCAAAAGACATGATGACAGGAAATGCTGGAAATGTCTGACTTGTCAGAAATGCGGGCGCCGAGGTCGCCCCTCCGACAATGGGTTTCTGCGAATGTGCAGCGTGTGGAGAAGTGCAAGACGAGGGCAACTGCCCGATGGAGAATTTTACAATATGCTTCGCAAGTGGTACGTGCCGACCAAACACACCAGAACGCTTCCTCCCGACGCTGAGAAGGTGTTAAACCAGAACGCTCGCCAGGTTGGAACCTGGTACGAGCCGAGCGTTCTAGGCTATGCATATATGCATTCATTGAGAAAGGAGGGGCTGATAACATGGTTAATCGTCTGACCGGCCGGAATTTCAGTACACGTGATTTGGACTCTAGTTCTTTTCCATCAATTGCAAGTTTGCGGCGACCGGATGGAATGCGCACGATCACCTACAAAGATGGAAATCAAGTTGTCTCCTGGCGAATCACGTGGTTTCTGGAAGTACCGTACTCCAAACAAGTAGTTCAGGCAAGCCAAGGCGGGAGGAAAAATCAACACTGAGAAGGCCACCTTATTGTATGATTCGGAAGCTGAAGTCTCAATCATCGACACCACATTTGCTCGTAAGGTTGGCTGTGTCATAGATGAGAGTCAGAAGCAAGAATGCGTGGGTATCGGAGAAAATTCATACATGGCAGAAGGCCGCACAAAGGTGAAGATCGCGCTGAATGGCTCATTGGTTTACTACTTTGATGTATATGTGGGTGACCAAGTGGGACAAAAACCAACTCTAGGGATGAATTTCATGGTACCGGCTGGAATACGCCTTGACCTGGCAGACGGAACAGTGTGCTTGCCGGACGAAGTCAGAATTAAACTGGAAGGTAGGAGATCACCGTATGGGATGAAGATACAACTAATTGATGCGGATGAGAAGTATTTGGCGATACCGGTGGGTGACTCGGTGGAGGTCAGTGTTGGTCGGGGGCCACTGCAGTCGATATTGTGGTTAACGCGCCACGCACGTTGGGCAGCCACGGCTATGACCGGACCCGGAATGCTTACGTACCTCCTCCCTAACGACCCAACCGATCAAGAGGTGATTATCCAACAGGGGAAGCCGTTCGAGCAATGGATGCCGGCGGACATGATACCACGGTCACCCGGGTATGTGTCGGTAGGGTAACGTCGAAATCAGGAGTGGCAAACACTTGCATACGAAGCTTCTACAGATAGAGATGATGAAGAAGAAGTAACAGAAGCATAAGGACCGCTGGTCGAACGCCAGTCTTACCCAATGTCAACGCAGATTTTAAAGCGACCCCCACAGGATATGGTAGAGATGACCGCGGGGAGAAAAGAAGCGGAATGGGAAAACAGTGTGCCGACACGTGACCAGGTGGATGACTAGGAGGATCAAGAAGGAACACAACCATAACGATCACCAGTAGCTATTAACGCGATAACCACATGTGATACGGGTTGGGATTCGGTACATGATCGGCAGGAACAAACGAATGAACCCCAGAGAGAAATGTCTACGCGATTACCAACGTCCGCCGACTTGGTCAACCCTATTGATGCGATGAAGGATGCGACGTTGGTGCACGAGCAGTCCAAAACGCACCCACACGAGTGTGAAGAGAAGCTCACTCTTGAATCGATCAAGGATATGGCACCTGATCGTATGTAAAACAAGTCCCCTGATTCCCCAGATGGAATTACTGTTGGGGGTTGGGAGGTATGTCGACCGCCCGACCATCTGGGAGACCAAGAAGCAGCGGTCACCGGCGAAGGAGAACAGGAGTGCACGTCATACCAACACGCAGGTGGAACATTATTCGCGGAAGATGTTGGCCAACACATGGCAGTCTTACCGGAGGTGGACACGACGCTATGCGAGGTGAAGATTGAGGATATACAGGTGGGCGAACCAGGGTTCCATTGAAGAAAGAGCAAGAAGAATTATGCCAGCTGATCTGGAAGACAAGACATCTATTGCTGGGCAAGGGAAACGCTGTCCCACCTGCGTCTTGAGCCGTGATTTGTGACATAGATGTGGGAGGGGCGACCCCAATAGCACGACGAGTGAGGCCTGTCGCCCCAAAGTTCCGTGAAAAGTTGGCGAACCTGATCAAAGGGTTACTATCGGCAGAGATTGTATGTCCCTCAACCTCGCCGTGGACATCGCCGATCGTAGTGATCGTAAAAAAGGATGGGGTAGACACACGACTATGGATTACCGACGAGTCAAACAATTGACGAGGCTAATGGTATATCCCATGCCCTTGATCAACGACCTACTGCAGGGCCTGGACAGAGCGCTATGGTACTGTTCATTGGATATGGCCAGCGGATTCTGGGTTGTGGAAATGACGGAGAGAGCACGAATGATTTCTGCTTTTTGTACGCCTTCAGGTCTGTGTGAATGGCTACGTATGCCGTTCGGGTTGAAAAACGCACCGCAGATAGACCAGCGTATGGTGGATAATGCATTCTGGGGTATCTCACGATCGGTGAACAGCGGGGATCAAGTGGTCGCGAGGTGTCACAACCGGTCGACGTGTTCACGCACGGCGAGCCGGACCCGCACCGAAAGCGTTCAGTGTTGGGGCGGAGGTCCTATATTGATGAAATTCTGATCCCGGCGTCGTCCTGGACGTCCATCCATCAAAAGGTAAAAAGACTGTTGGAAGTCTGTGATAAGTGGAAGTTGTCGATCAGTTTCCCTAAGAGTGTGTGGGGATGACGCAAGGTTGAGTATCTCGGGCACCAGATATCGATATCAGGAATAAAAGCTGATCCAAAGGATTTGGGGTCGTTGGCCAATGTTCTATTTTCCCAAACGTTGCGGTCAATGCAGTCCTTTTTGGGAAGCTTGAATTACTACAGCCGGTTCATTGAAGATTTTGCCATATACGCCTCAGTCCTGTATGAATTAAGAGAGACGGACTTCCACAAGATTAGGTGAATGGACAACTCGGAGGATGATCATGCAACAAACCAAGACCAGGATGGTGATACCCATATCGACGATGACCATGGCCAGAGGCTGGTGGGTAGCTGTGATCAACAAATGACAAAGGTGGATGGTCATGACCAACCGAATACAGAGGGGTCTAATGGCGAACATACAAGTGGTCATCGTTGGTAAAAAGTTATGATCGTGTTCTTAATGCTGACAGCAAAAGTTGCCCAGACCCCGGTGCTAAGACATTGTGAACCTGATTGTCGGCCAGTGATAGTGGTTTATGCCAGCAAATGGGCGGTATCCGCAGCTTTGTTGCAAGAACACGAAGGAGTGAATTGGCCTGTTATGTTCACCAGTCACACGTTAGAACTGAATGAAATTAACTAAGGTGTGGTGGAGAAAGAAGTCCTGGCCCTGCTCCAGATATTAGATGTTTGTTATGCACTACTAGTATCTCGGGACCTTAAGGTGCTCACACGGTATTCAACTCTGGCGTGGTTGATTCAATCATCGGGCCTTAACGGAAGACTTGGAAGATGGGCAGCTTTACTGTCAACTTAGACCCTGGAGATTAACCGATGCAACAAAGGAGAGGACGAAATTCTTGGCACTCTTGCCGCAAGTATCACACCACAGGAGGATGTGGATGAAGCGCTGATCGCGCTCGCGCCCCGGAAGCAACCGAGACAGATTATCCGTATGCCGCCCCCTACGGTTAGCCGCAAAGAATCTCTTCTTGTCGTCAGCTTTGATGGAGCAGCTCGTATCAAGAATAAAGGGGGCGCCTACAATGAAATAATACGGAAGCTTCCCGAGTGGACTATAGTATCGGCTGCGTCGCGATACGACACTGGGTTGACCGTGAATGAGGCAGAGTACCATGGGTTGCTGCTGAGTTGCGAGTTATTGGTCAAGCAGACAGGGGGACGAGTGGCCATTTGTGGGGATTCCAACCTGGTCATCAGGCAGATGAGGGGTGAAATTGACTGCAAGGCACCGGGACTACAGTTACTGCGTCTCAAGGTCCTAGATCAACTGCGATCATGGCCAACTCATAAATTCTTACATATTAAGCGCGATTGGAATCAAAGCGCCGATATACTAGCTAGCTCCGCTTTACAGCTGGAAAAAGGCATGGTCAGACTAACGGAGCAGGTTTGTCATGATTTACAAGCGATGAACCGACTGGACGAGATATTAGTACCAGCGACCAACAATCAAGTGGCCAAGATAACGGCGATCACACGATCATCCATACGGAGGCGTGAAGTGCCCACGATTATGCAAGAGGAAATAATACAGCAGATACGACTGGAGCGCATAAAGCAAACACAAGATGAAAAAAGTTGGATCACCAACCTCAAACTTTACTTAGTCGGGGATGTGACCGAGTTGGATACTACGGAAGCAAAAGAAAGTGCGGTTATTGCCTCGGATTACGTGGTGGATGAAGGTGGATAGTTAAATTTTACCCACGAGCAGCAGCAAACCCCAGTGACCGCGCGGATCTCGTCCGTTTGGTGGTTCCGGAATTACTGCAAGATGATGTCCTACACTACTACCATGCAAGTCTGGAAGGTGGTCACCAAAGGGTAGGCCGAACGTATCACCGCGTGCGATCGCACTTTCATTGGAGAGGCTTGTTTAGAAGCGTGCAAGGTACGTGGGGAAGTGTGCCGACTGCAAAACCGGTAAAGGATGTCCGATCCTACGAGGCGAATCCCCGGGGAATTTACACGCCACGTACCCGTTCCAGATCATTGCAATGGATCATATCCCCTCGTTACCCAGGTCATTAAAAGGGAATACCGAATTGTTGCTTTAAGTAGATTTTTATTCTGGCTGCGTGATCGCTAAATCTAGCTCGTCAAGGACGGCCCAGACGATCGCGGAAAGGTATGAAGAATATGTCTTCCGGCGGTTTGGGGCAAGTGAATCTATTCATCACGACCGCGAACCCAGATTCATGTCGGATTTCTTTCGCGCGTTCAACCGCATCGCTAGTCAGGAACAACGTGCCACAATGGCGTATCGGCCTCGATCCAGTGGTACAGCTGAACGTATGGTCCAAACATTGACCAGGGCGCTAAAATGTATGCCACGGATGTGAACCAACAAGATTGGGACGAATACGCTGATCGCCTGACCTTCGCCACCAATACGGCCCATGACCGAGTACGGGGTGATACACCGTTCTATCTTATCCATGGTGGGATCCGCGATCAACGCTGGAAGCGACCTTGCCGTTGGAATGTACTAAAATACATGATCGGGATCCCCGGAGATGGCGCTATCACATACAGCGGCAATATCAACGAGCCCGCGCTACGGTGAATGACCGACTTAAGGACGTTGTTCAAGACCGAGCTGACCGATACAACGTTGGTCAAGGGCCAAATGGAATCAGCCGCGGTAGCCAAGTGTGGCTATATTTGGATCGAGTGAAGGAGAGATATGCCAGGAAGCTAGCTCACATGTGGCACGGCCCGTTTTGGGTGATCGAGAAGAGCGGGGGACATGCAGTGCGGTTAGAGATACAAGGGACCCCATACCGATTGTTCCCACTCGTTCACGTATCCAAGCTGAGGCTAGTACATAATTTCCCTGATCGACCTGCTGCGCGGCTGGAGGTGGAATAAACAGAGCTTGTTGATTTGACAAAGCTCTGCTTTCAGAGGACAGCTGGGCAAACGATCTAGCCTAAGGAGAATACGAGGTGGATAGTATCCGAGATGTGAGAACAGGACGAAAGACTCGGTACGGAAGGGTACACCGACAGTTCCTGGTCTGATGGAAGGGTCATAAGGATGAGACTTGGGTGGATGAGGCAAACCTTAATCGTGGTGCTTTATTGCAAGAGTTTGAACGTGATCGAGCTAGGCGAAACCGTTTCGAAGTGATGCAAGTACCTGAGGAAGAATCCAGGTGTTAGGGTGACCATGGACGGTAAACGCGGCCTTGAAGAATGGGGACTGTGTAATCTGTAAGAGAACGAGGGATGACCACGTGAACCATAAATGTGAAGGAGTGATGTGGTCAACTAACATGGTGATCATACAGCTAAGATGACCAAGAGCGGTGACCGCGGCCAAGAAACACTGTGACCGCCTGGTCTGTGAAAGGATGAGAAATGTCTACGTAAGTTATGAATGTGAAGGAGTTGCATGGTCAACCAAAGCGGTGTACACAGAAGCAAGGAAACACAGTGAACAGACTACTATAGAAGTGAATTTAATAAGCAGCGACTGGTGGTCATGGCTGTGACCATAAACGTCATGGTCTCTCATGCTGGAGACGACTTTTCACTGCGCTACAAACTTGGTCCGGAGACGATCGATGGACGAGCCTGGGTGGTCAGCAATGGCTGCCCGATATTGATTGCGCCAGGGGTCAGCGGAATCCACAAGGAGTAAGGCTGAGGCCAGATTCGGGATGTTGGTCTGTCGACAGCCAAGCCCTGGATACCACCAACATTTCTCAAACCGTCCTGGAAAGTGCAGGAAGAAGGGGTCCAACAGGATTTCAGGTCACACTGACCCCCGATCAAACCCTCTTACACGATACAGAGTACAGCCTTCCACTGGGGGCTGGACCTGGAACGCCGACGACGCCTTTCTTTATAGAAGACGCTCAATCCAGGGTCTTTCGCACGACTTGGACAGACGATGATCGTGAGCACATGAGTAGACTCCCATAACGCCTGGAGATGATGGTCTTCAAACTCACGATACGCGGTAATCAAAGCTTGGAACCAGCCAGTCGGGCGGAATGACACAGGCGCATTAGGCCGATCCAAGACGTCCCAATATTTTTAGCTGTATAAAGCAGCGATCTGGGCGGAGGTCACTAGCCGCGGGGACCGCTGAGCTTCAGTTGGCGGACACAGGGAACCGTGTGGAATCGGGAACAGATAGTGATTGGGCCGGGAGTAGTGGTGGAACAAGAGATCCAAGTCCAGGTGACCTACAGTGACCAAGCCCAAGCGATGGGATGACCACAGCGAAAGCTAGCCAGGGGCATAAGTTGCACGAGTGCAATACCCAGGTATCCACTTATCGCGCGAGGACCGCACGGGGGGTAAAGCCTTGAAGGCGGTCGGGGATAAGAGCTTGTTTACTGGGGCATGACCGTAGCTTGGTACCCTCACCGACCCATCGGACTCGTCGGACGCCCTGGGTGGCTCTGTGGTCGGAGGTGTCGCAGCGATGGGCGGCGACCTGGAGACGGCTGATGAAGTACGAGTATCACGTCTTGACGGATCCGGACGAGTCGCGGGTGTTTGAATGGCTGGATCGATCTCGATCGGAGTATCATCCATCCCGTTAGCAGATCTTGTGGCCGAGACAGAAGACCGCCGTCGAACGGAAGAACGCGACCGTGACAGTGCGATGAGCATGGCCTCTTCAGCAGATTCTACGGAGCCGTCGCTATCCTGCACATGATATGCGGAGGGGAAACGCGCTCGTGTTTGCGTCTGTGACCGCCGAGTCATAACAGACAGTGGCGTGGTCACGGTCTTGGGCTTGGACGATTTTCTGGTCGTACGTGCTGGAATCTTGGGGACGTCGAGGCGAAGGCGAGACGCCTGCCGGGACTTGGGGTGAGTGGATGCCGATCGTGAATGGGTAGTTGGGCCGGCGGGCCCCGCGACCGTAGAGGAAAGGCTGGCAGGCAAATCTGGTCCGACCGCAACGCGAGGATGACCGAGAAAATTTGAAGCGGATCGATGTTGGGTCACATGGTCCACGGGCGGGACCACGTCAGATAGGGACCTAGAAGCCGAGCTCGAGGTGACCGTAACGCGCGCACGCTTGTTCGGGGGTGGCACAGGATCGGCCGCTGACTTCTCTCTCCGCCGCTTATCATAAGCGAGCCCCACCGACGGCGGAAGCCCCATAACGAAGTTGCCCAGATGGTTGAGCTGAGCCTGGCGGTCGCGAGTAAGCAGATCTCGTTCTGCTCTCAACAGTGCTAGTTCCTCGATGAAAGGAGCATGGGAGGATCGTAAGCGGTGAAGCTCTTGGTGGCTTAAAGCGCGATCCGTTTTCAATTGGTCAAGCTCCCGACCACGTTGTGCAAAGCTGCAAGCAAGCGCATCGAAACCTATCCACAGTGGAGCAACACGCTGCTCACGTGTTGCTACCGCTCTCCGTAAATCATCATACTCCTTAGCTAACTGGTCAACCTCGGTCGTGTCCACGTCATGCACTTGGTCACTACCCACGTCAGCATCGGCAGGCTCAGCATCGGCAGAAGAGGCATCGTCCGCCGGGGCGTCATCAGATCCGACCGAAAAGCCAACAGAGTCGGCAAGGTGGTCAGCCGGAGCTGGTTCGGCGAGGTGGTCAACCGGAGCGCGGCGGCTTAGTCAGATTCGCCAGTGTCCCCGTTGCGCACTTGGTCGCTACCCACGTCAGCATCGGCAGGCTCAGCATCGGCAGAAGAGGCATCGTCCGCCGGGGCGTCATCAGATCCGACCGAAAAGCCAACAGAGTCGGCAAGGTGGTCAGCCGGAGCTGGTTCGGCGAGGTGGTCAACCGGAGCGCGGCGGCTTAGTCAGATTCGCCAGTGTCCCCGTTGCGCACTTGGTCGCTACCCACGTCAGCATCGGTAGGATCAGAATCGGCAGAAGAGGCATCGTCCGCCGGGGCGTCATCAGATCCGACCGAAAAGCCAACAGAGTCGGCAAGGTGGTCAGCCGGAGCGGGGTCGGCGAGGTGGTCAACCGGAGCGCGGCTGCTTAGTCAGATTCGTCAGTGTCCACGTTGCGCACTTGGTCGCTACCCACGTCAGCATCGGTAGGCTCAACATCGGCAGAAGAGGCATCGTCCGCCGGGGCGTCATCAGATCCGACCGAAAAGCCAACAGAGTCGGCAAGGTGGTCAGCCGGAGCGGGGTCGGCGAGGTGGTCAGCTGGAGCGCGGCGGCTTAGTCAGAATCGGCAGTGTCCACGTTGCGCACTTGTTCGCTACCCACGTCAGCATCGGTAGGATCAGAATCGGCAGAAGAGGCATCGTCCGCCGGGGCGTCATCAGATCCGACCGAAAAGCCAACAGAGTCGGCAAGGTGGTCAGCCGGAGCTGGTTCGGCGAGGTGGTCAACCGGAGCGCGGCGGCTTAGTCAGATTCGCCAGTGTCCACGTTGCGCACTTGGTCGCTACCCACGTCAGCATCGGTAGGCTCAACATCGGCAGAAGAGGCATCGTCCACCGGGGCGTCATCAGACCCGACCGAAAAGCCAACAGAGTCGGCAAGGTGGTCAGCCGGAGCTGGTTCGGCGAGGTGGTCAGCCGGAGCGCGGCGGCTTAGTCAGAATCGTCAGTGTCCCCGTTGCGCACTTGGTCGCTACCCACGTCAGCTTCGGTAGGATCAGAATTGGCAGAAGAGGCATCGTCCGCCGGGGCGTCATCAGATCCGACCGAAAAGCCAACAGAGTCGGCAAGGTGGTCAGCCGGAGCTGGTTCGGCGAGGTGGTCAACCGGAGCGCGGCGGCTTAGTCAGATTCGCCAGTGTCCACGTTGCGCACTTGGTCGCTACCCACGTCAGCATCGGTAGGCTCAACATCGGCAGAAGAGGCATCGTCCACCGGGGCGTCATCAGACCCGACCGAAAAGCCAACAGAGTCGGCAAGGTGGTCAGCCGGAGCTGGTTCGGCGAGGTGGTCAGCCGGAGCGCGGCGGCTTAGTCAGAATCGTCAGTGTCCCCGTTGCGCACTTGGTCGCTACCCACGTCAGCTTCGGTAGGATCGGAATTAGCAGAAGAGGCATCGTCCGCCGGGGCGTCATCAGATCCGACCGAAAAGCCAACAGAGTCGGCAAGGTGGTCAGCCGGAGCTGGTTCGGCGAGGTGGTCAACCGGAGCGCGGCGGCTTAGTCAGATTCGCCAGTGTCCACGTTGCGCACTTGGTCGCTACCCACGTCAGCATCGGTAGGCTCAACATCGGCAGAAGAGGCATCGTCCACCGGGGCGTCATCAGACCCGACCGAAAAGCCAACAGAGTCGGCAAGGTGGTCAGCCGGAGCTGGTTCGGCGAGGTGGTCAGCCGGAGCGCGGCGGCTTAGTCAGAATCGTCAGTGTCCACGTTGCGCACTTGGTCGCTACCCACGTCAGCTTCGGTAGGATCGGAATCAGCAGAAGAGGCATCGTCCGCCGGGGCGTCATCAGATCCGACCGAAAAGCCAACAGAGTCGGCAAGGTGGTCAGCCGGAGCGGGGTCGGCGAGGTGGTCAGGCTCGGTCGCGTCTGGTTCAAGGCCAGTGTGATCGTCGTCGTCAGGAGCAGGGGTGGCCGACCGCAGCGGAGTCAGCTGAGGAGACGTCGAGCCCGAAGGCAGGGGTGTTCAACGGCCTGGTGAGATGGCAGCAACATTTCCAGAAATGATCAGGGGAAGGCAGATCAAAAAGTGTTCAGCCAGATCGGCACCGGCTACCGACAAACAGAGCAGGGACCGACTGTGGTGAAGTGGTCAAAGTTAATCCTGATCAATCGCCTTGATCATCTCGTAAGTGCATGTAGGACCCGTCATGCCGGTCTTGGGACTGAACGCTACAGAGAACCCCAACGATAAGCGGGACGGTTTGCAAGTCATCAGTCGCGGTCACAGATTATGACCACTGGTTAGGGTCACGACGAATGATATGACCTGTCATGGTCACTATGGGCGACCGGTGGTCATGGTCACGATGGGTGATCAGTGGTCACGGTCACGATGGGTGACCAGTGGTCACGTTCATGATGGGTGACCAGTGGTCACGGTCATGATGGGTGACCAGTGGTCACGGTCACGATGGGTGGCCAGTGTTCATGGTCACGGTCACTGCAAGATGACCAGCGGTCATGTTGGCAGTTAAGTTGGTCTACTTCAAGCACAGGGAATGGGTGGTGGCAGGCGAACAACGTAGCAGAAAACTGAGATAAAGAGAAGTGTAAACGTAGTTCTAGCCCCTAATAGGTTAATAACGACTAGTATTGATTTTCCTACAAAAGACACGCATCAGCACCCCTCCGGGATGGAATACTAGTGTCCATCCGACGTAAAAGGTTTCTGTCTACGTGTTTGCTCAAGGTTTGTCCCTGGATTGCTTGGCTAGGGACGAGTATACTCATTCAAGTTAGCCCGCGATCGGACGCGGCAAGCATACAAGGCAAGGTCTTCAGACGGCTCAAGTGATCAGAAAGACAAGGTGATCAAGTGGTCAGAGGAACAAGGGGATTCAGTATCCACATTTGGGCAAGGCGATTTCAAGGAAGGTCAGGCAACTCTAGGAGAGTGCCACTAGTAACCGTTGGCCGTGTGAAGAATCACCACGCGACCACACCCCACCTATCCTCAACTCGGTCAAGACAAGACATCGACCTCAAGACACCTAGAAGAGTGCAGCCGCCCGCCGATTGGTACACAAGGTGAGAAGGAACAAGACAAGACAAGACACACGGTCCGGAGTACCCCCTCGGTTAGTGGGTCGTCCGGGCGCAAGTGAGGAGTCAGGATCGCTACGCGAATGAGAGAATCTCACTCCACCACACTATCTGATACCCAGTTCATATTTGAAAATAGTCAGACCACTACTTTGATCCCATGCTTGCCTAGGTATTGGGGTGAGCACTGCACGTTGCCGTGCATCCGTGGTTGCACATGCTATATACGGTCCAGAAACTACTCCCAGAGGTCTAGCCAAGCCTTGTTTGTGAAATTAGAAAGCTTGACTTTTCAGCGGAGCAGAGACGAATCTGTTTGGCGTTGAGTCAGAGGCCGACCAAGGAAATCTGTGGAACTGAGGGTGCGACTCAAAGACGAAGCCACTAGCCTGTAATTCGAGTTGGATGGCTGCTGGTCTGCCGCGGAGTACACCTCGAGTACCGGAAGTGTCCCCGTACTTTTTATCTTTGTCACCTTCCTGCTGGAGCAGATTTATTTGCTGTGTTGGATTGTGCACACTACTCAGTGGTTAGCCCACGATGACTCCATCGCTCTGGTAACTCCAGACGTACGGCGCAAGACCCATTGGTGCATGTTGAGGCCGCAGTGGTGGATTCTGCTCCAGGCTTAAACCAATAGATTTGTCTGGAGAAGAAGGAAGAAGGCATGTAGACTGCCGTAAATTCGCCATCGTTTGGGGTCGGGGATGGTGGGGAGGTCTGGGTATCGTTATTACAATTTCACAGGTCCAGCTCGTGAGATGCTGAGTCTTTCCAGGGTACAGACTTCGTTTTGCTGTCGTATGCGGGTCTGGTTAGCATATCGCCGAACTGATCCCGAATTTAGGGGTTCGCTAAACGGTTAAACGTGGATTAAAACTGCCTGATCTCCTCTGGCATAAACATTCACACTGAGGCTTCGTGTTGGAAATAAAGAGGACTAGAAAAGGACGATTTCTTCTTTCTTCTTACCAGCAGGCTGCGCTCCCCAGTAACCGCACCAATTGTGCAGCCACATGCGATGTGACTCGTTCCACCTGGTCCGGTGTTAGGGCGCGCCATACTCCTAGCGTCCGCTGTTATTCTCGCCCAGGAGTTCGAGTCATGTGAGGAGATTGTAGGCGTCCCCCAACATTGGCAAAACCGCTACCTCTGTTGCGTGGGACAGTTTACGGTATGAACATTGACGCCATGCCGTGAAATACCTGTCAGGACGTTGAGCTAGCCAGAGAATTGCGTGCTTCGTTCGTTGGGTCTTGACAGCGACTGACACATCGACAAGCCCAATGCCCCCAGCTTTTGTTGTTTTCACGAGCAGAACCGGGTCGACTTTGTGCCGGCTTTATCCGTCGTCGTAGCGTGTAACCATAAACATTGCCTGCGTGAATTGTTAACTTCTGTCATCGCTCACTGAGTTATGTCGAATCTGCTTTCAATTAAAAGCAACGAGATTAGTACGAGAGTGTTGAGAATAAGAACTCGATTCGCAACACTTGTCGCTACCTGTGATGCCGTGAGTATGCGACGTTGAAAGTTCTGGATCCTCACCGCCCAATTCTTATTCAATAATTCATCCGTACCGTATTCATAGCCTAGGAATCAGGTTGCTCGCCTGGTTGTATAACATTGATGCCCATGAATCTTTATAAAAGCTTTGACCGATTCAAAAAAAATTGCTCATGTCTGGTTGAACCTTCAGTATTGTTAAAGCCCCAAAGGCTTTAACAATACTGAGAGCATGTGGAAGCTGCTCTGCCTGCTCGTGGAAGAGTTTTAAGTCATCAACAAATGCTAAAAATGATTGCTTGTGCCCTGACAGAGCCGGCAATTGCAATGTTCTGAGCACTGGATCTTGCCTGAGGGCTAGACTTAGCACCTCCACCTCGAGCAAAAAAAAATAAGGGCGCGAGCGGGCAACCTTGTCGAATTTCGGAACGCACCGGTAAGGCTGAGGACTTGCACCCGTATACCACAAAACTGGCCATCGTAAAGTGGTGGATGCATCGTCTTAATTCGACAACTCTTTCATCGAAACCAAAAAGATGCAGAGTTTCGTACAAAAATCGACAGTATCTTAAGCCTTGCGAAAATCCAGGGGTAAGATACATCTGCTTTTCTCGGCGGTCAGATCTTCCTGATCTGCTGCTGTCATCGATTGAGCCATCATCATCACAGCTGTGTTCCCCACCCGCCGCCGATGTAAAAACCCTGCTGTGAGTCAATGATAACTCTGGGCAGATATTGCTATAGCCGGGTAGCCAGCACATTCGCAAAGACCTTAAAGCTTGTTTTTAACAGAAAAATTGGTCTGTAGTCCATAGCGTCATTAGAGTCGCCCTTTTTCCAAGAAGGAATAATTTGTGCCTCGTGAAAAGAGGGAGGTAGCTCTGCTCCAGCCATATAATATTTTTTTCGCACCAGTCCCGGTACCATAAGAGCCGCAGTATCATTAAAAAGGTCGTTATTTAGACCATTTGGAAGGCCGATTTATGAAGCTTGAGCCCTATTATAGTAAAGAGCACCTCTGCTTCTGTAAACGGTCGCAGCATGCACTCTATATCCAGAACTGTTATGTGTTGATCCGGCTTGATCATCGCAAACTTTAGCAGCTCTTCCATTAGGAGGTTGTTAGACGAGATTCGGTGACTCCGACTCAAAACATGAGCCCATTCGAAGGCTGTTTGATTCGCCAACGATGCCCTGAGCAGACAAGTCGGACCGTTCGTGCTTGGAGGGAAGTTATGTGCTAGTCCCGTTTCCGATGGCGATCTGCTTGTAGGACCAGCAAATACGTTCCTTTGACCGCTATAATGACTCTCCAAGACGCACTAAATGAGCCTCTCGAATCTCTTTCAGATTGGCTGACACCTCCTGTCGACGTTACGAAGTTTCGCTAGATAACGTTTTCGGCGCTGTTTCCCCCGTTTACGTACCACCTCAATTCAGTGTTTGCTAGTTCGTAAATGCACTTCTTAGGACTGTAGTTTGGGTCCCCTGCCCACCCGAGCGTCCGTCAAGTCATGTATTAAGTCCTTTTTTTGTGAGTCTGATTATTTTGGATAGGATTCGAAACTCGTTGGCGGCGAGTCATCGTATGATCCAAGTGCCTCGTCCTTGGATGAAGAACTATGTGATCGTGGCTCGAATACGGACATGGCGTATACGTTGAGACTCAGAGGACCTCTACAGCCCAGTTGTTGGGACGTAGAAACGGTCTTTCCGGCTTGCCGTCTCCCCTGTCTAGTAAGTAGGTTGATGAGATGTATCGAATGTATCATCGTTAGCATAATCCCAACCATGCCGAGCGTCACTCATGCCCACCGCCCTTACTAGCTCCTGAAGTGCGGGGCTTTAAGGTCAGCTAGCTATCCAAGAACCAAATTGGTCTATCTAGGAGCTTTGTACGCTATTTAAATCCCCTTACAATATAGTGTCGCACGATGTCTTGTTCCATTCCTGAAGAGAAAAAAAATCCCCGCGGTCGGCTTTATTGTAGGTGCGTACACATTAAGAAGAAACTAATTGTCTATATCACTTTCGATCGCCTGTGAAGTCGAAATGTCTTCATATCACGCTGTAGCTAGAGACGCCGCCTTGAGTGTAAGCAAGAAGGCCACTCCACGGGCCTTGGTAGAGCCGAAACTCCGAAACTCCGATAAAACGTAGTCGCTTGTTCCGGGTATCGGTGGTGGCCCCACATCCTTTTATAGTATTGTTTTAGTGCTCTCGCTTCCTCCGCGGTCGCCACGTTTGTTCTGAATCACAAGAAGCCATCGAACTTCGATGCACCGGCAATTGACGCCAGGCCACCATCCACAGCTGACGGTTTGAACAGCCGAGAACGTTTTGGGTATTGATCCGTCGGGCGGATTCTTGCCTCTGTGTTTTCCACCGTCCTTTGTGGTTGAAACTGTTCAGCTCAGTATTGCGCGCGTAGGCATCAGCACATAATATATCTCCATAAAATCGGTCTGAGATTGAAACTCGTGAAGTGCCCTCAGTACTGGATGTGGGTTTTCTCTTCGAGGCGTGCTAGCTCTGCGTGAAAAGGCCCTTGAGTGCTGTCCAGTCCGCCACGTTGGACAAAGAGTAGTAAGCCTCCTTGTACCTGGCGTTAATTGCAATCAGCTTATTAAAGAACCTGACTTTTTCCGGCGCCCTAGTCTTCGGGGGAAATCCGTCCACTAGCGCAGCACTCTCTTGATATAAAAGAAGCGCAGGGAAGAAATGATGATTTTGTTGTGGAGTGAGATTCGCTCATTCGCGTAGCGATCCTGACTCCCCACTTGCGCCCGGACGACCGACCAACCGAGGGGGTACTCTGGACCGTGTGTCTTATCTTGTCTTGTTCCTTCTCACCTTCTGTGCCCGTCGGCGGGCGGTTGCACTCTTCTAGGTGTCTTGAGGTCGATGTCTTGTCTTGACCGAGTTGAGGATAGGTGGGGTGTGGTCGCGTGGTGATTCTTCACACGGCCAACGGTTACTAGTGACACTCTCCTGGAGTTGTCTGACCTTCCTTGAAGTCGCCTTGCCCAAATGTGGATACTGAATCCCCCTTGTTCTTCTGAACACTTGATCACCTTGTCCTTCTGATCACTTGAGCCGTCTGAAGACCTTGCCTTGTATGCTTGCCGCGTCCGATCGCGGGCTAACTTGAATGAGTATACTCGTCCCTAGCCAAGCAATCCAGGGACAAACCTTGAGCAAACACGTAGACAGAAACCTTTTACGTCGGATGGACACTAGTATTCCAGCCCGGAGGGGTGCTGATGCGTGTCTTTTGTAGGAAAATCAATACTAGTCGTTATTAACCTATTAGGGGTTAGAACTACGTTTACACTTCTCTTTATCTCAGTTTTCTGCTACGTTGTTCGCCTGCCACCACCCATTCCCTGTGCTTGAAGTAGACCAACTTAACTGCCAACATGACCGCTGGTCATCTTGCAGTGACCGTGACTGTAACGGGGCACCCTGAAGCTTGTACTGGTGACAGTACAAGCTACTTATTCTGATAACAGAATAAGGCGGTGCCTCGTAACTTCACGTACACTCGTACGTGCAGAGGAAGACGGTAAGAAGAAGCGAGTACTTGGTTAGAGTAAAAAGTAGAACTGTATTTATAATAGTTAATGTCTGCAATAAATCACTATTTATCTTCATCTAACTATGTCTAAATACAAATGTGTAAATCAGTTATCTGCTCACCACTCATTGCGTGCGTCTGTCGTGGCGCGTCTTCGTTGGTTGATATAATGGCCTATATCAACCAATTAGGAACTACTTGGAAGTGCTACAGAATATTGTCCTTATGACAATATTCTGAGAATATAACTCTTATAGTTATATTCTATTAACAATTTCTTATAAATTGTTATGTAACGATTCACCCCGTTACATCACCCCCCTTAACCATCAGTCACTTTAGTGACTGATTGACTAAATGGATACTCGTCCCAAATCATTTGGGACGGGGTTTGCACTTGTTGGTCCGCGTCCACTTTCCAACATCTCATCGCATGGTAAACAAGCCCATGCGATGCGCGAGCAAGGCCGCCGAGAGCGCGTCTGCACGTCTCTGTGCGGACGCCGAAGCAGAAACTACAGCAACTGATGTCCCATCGGTTGCTGAATCGACTCAGCCTGTATCACCTGGTGATGCAGGCGCTGGTCATGAAGACACTCGTGTCTTCACAGAGTACGAGCTCGGTGTCTCGTACTCTCCTGATACGGATGACGGATCCGTATCGACGGCAATTGAATCCAAGCCGCCTGCCAAGCGTGGCATGGACGATGCTTTGCGTCGCAGCATCTTTGGTTCATCTGATGAGTCAGATGAACCATCGCCGAAGCGAAGGCGCTCGAGGTCGCGAGACTCGGGCGCTAATAGTGGTGTCGTTTCTCCAATGGACACCACTTCACAGCGAGGTGCCAGTACTTCTGTCGGCACGTCGCAGGAAGAGCGGGACCGCAATGTGTTGCGTCTCGCTCCAGAAAAGAAGGCATGGATGCCTCCTAAATCTGTCATGGATCACTTGTCGGCGACGACGAGTGATCGTTATCGAACACGATTGTTCGATTCGTCAAGGATTCATCACCTTGACCCCAGCGCGAAAAAGTATCGCGCTGAACATGAGTTCTTCATCGATGCTTTCTTTAGACATAGATGGTACAGTGGGAATCACAAACGTGATGGTCCCTCACTACTTCAGGCGTGGAACGCCTACATCCATAATCTCGAGGATGTAGGTCGTGACGCTTGGAACGACAAACTTATCAAAGCTCGTGATAAGTTTGAAAAGCGAACCCAGACAGGTGCACGCTACAAGCTGCATCGTCTGTCAAGGGAGAAAGGATTACCCTGCCTCTCTTGGGGAGACTCGTGCCCATGTTGTGTGAACAACTCTGCACGAGCACCTAAGGAGGCTTACCTCCTTACCAGCCCGTGGTGGCGCGTACGTGTCTCTACTGAGATGTACGAAGGGATTGACAACCTGAAATCCCTTTACGACCGTGCCGGGAAGACTTTCTCCGGCGGTCCTTCTGCGGCACAGGATGTGTCGCGTCGTACTGCTCGACCAGACCCAGTACGTCAACCATCAATTGGGAGCGGGGCTCCCAAGAATCCCAGGACGGGGGATAGCCGCGCCACCGGACGAGGTAACTCGTCCGACGTCCGTTCACGTCGCGGTGGTTCAACAGCTGCTCAACTAGATAGCGCTGGCCACCGCGAGAGTCCTCTAATGGAGGTGGAGGCTGAGGAAAGAAGCTCTCCACACGATCGTGGGGATCCGTGTGTTCCGAGAGCTTCTTTGATCGCGTAACGCAAGGGTTACGCGGTGATCTCGAACATGAGCGGGACAGGCGTCTCCAAATGGCGGACACTGCCTCGAAGCATCGAGCTGAGTTTGCCTTTGTTCAGCTTGAGAACGAAAGAGCTCTGACATCTCTTCGTGACGAGCTAAGGGTAGCTCGTGGGATTGTTGATCGGTCTCGGGCTGAGATAACTGCTCTTCAGACCCTTGTTGATGCCCACCATCGGGAGCACAAGGCTCTCTGCGAGATGCTTGAGCGCAAGGGCGTTCTTCATCGGAAGAAGCAGCGTACTGATGGTACGGCTTAAGCCGACCAACGTAAAACGTGGGATGCGTTCGCATCTTACGTGGTAACTCGATCGTGTATGCATTGCCTAGGCGGTGCAATACACGAAATGGGCCAATGTACTTGGGTAGTAGTTTACTGCTACCCAAGTTAGTCACTACATGCTTTGGTAGATTAACCGTAGACAGTAGGACTAAGTCACCTTTATTAAATAAAAGAGTGTTTGCCCTTCCATTCTTGTCAGCGTTTTGCTTTTGCTTATCCACCGCTTCGGCGATGGAGTCTTGCACAAAACGGACTACCGTTTCACGAGCCAGTATGAACTCATCTGATGACTCGTTAGCTTCAGTGTGCTGTGAGCGCACTGCAGCGACAACAACCTTTTCTTCAGTGAGGGCTTCCGCACTCTCACTGGGATCATTGTCTTCAGTGAGGGCTTCCGCACTCTCACTGGCATCATCTTCTTCGATATCGATGTTATCGATATCGGCATCAAACGCAATGACTTCTTCGTCAGAGCGTGATGAGCGTGAACCAAATCGGTTTTTGCTCGCGCGAGTCCCTCCCCCCTTAAACCAGAGTTACACTCTAGTAAGGTGGGTACACGCGGATGGCGCAAGCCATTCACGTAAAACGGTGTATGTGTCGTGGACGCATGCACCGAGTTGTTGATGGCAAACTCTACCATCGGCAAAAACTCACTCCAACTCTTAAAGGAGTGTACGTATCCTCGAAGTATCTCTTCAAGGACACGATTGGCACGTTCCGTCTGACCATCTGACTCTGGATGATCAGATGTTGACATCTTCAAGCGCGTTCCGAGTGATTTGAACACGGAACGCCAGAAATCAGCAGTGAATCGTGGATCTCTGTCTGATACGAGTTCACGGGGCAACCCATGAAGTCGGAAGATGGTGTCAATAAAGACACAAGCACAGCCACTTGCCGTGATTGTCTCTGGTACAGCCACAAGGTGTACCATTTTGCTGAATCTGTCAACAAATACGAGAACCGTATTCCCGCGTGCGTCTTTGGGTAACCCGAAGACGAAATCCATTGAGATGGATTCCCAGCACTCAGCCGGAACCGGTAGAGGCTGTAAAGGTGCACGCAGTGAAGGACTTGACTTCACTCGTTGGCAGACTTCGCATGCGCGAACATACTTTCGCACAAACTGATACTGGCGGGGCCAGTAAAAGTCTCGACTCACCGTGAGATATGTTTTCTCTCGGCCACGATGTCCTCCTATAGGAGCATCGTGATACTCGAACATGATCCGCAAACGCAGATCAATATCATCTGGAATGACAACACGTGGTGTGTCACCAGAAACGGCTGTATAGTACAGTAAACCGTTACGAGTAGTGTATCGATCTGATGCAGATCGATACGCAGACGACAATCGTTTCAACGATTCTCGAGATGGTTGGGAGAGATGTGACAACAACTTCACTATCTCACCATCTTGGGCGTATGCCCGCCTCACATCATCATACAACGTTGTAGATGGAACTGAGGACGTCATAACCGCAACAGTGACTGTCTCACTGTTGGGTTTCGCGACTGTTTCAAAGTCGGGACGACGTGAGAGTGCATCAGCGACGACATTAAGTCGTCCTGGTTTGTACTCGACCGTAAAGTTGTATTCTGCAAAGAATGACAACCACCGCGCCATTCGTTGTGAAAGGTGCGGGCTGTTCACTGCCGTGCGTAAGGACGCATGGTCAGTGTAAACAACGAAGGGTCTATCTCCTAATAGATAGACTCTGAACTTCGCGAGTGCATACTTCATGGCAAGGAGTTCCTTGTCATGCACTGGATAGTTCCGCTCAGCTGGTTGCAGCTGACGCGACTGATAGCAGACGACGCGTTCAACGCCTTCAAGGTCGTACTGCATTAATGCACAGCCGATTGCGAAATCGCTGGCATCACAAACCACATGAAATGGCCTGTCCTGATCGGCTATTGCTAGGACTGGGGATTGTATCAAGCTCTGCTTGATACCCTCAAAGGAGCGTTGACATTCAGCGTTCCATAACCACCTCTCGTTCTTTTTCAACAAACGAGAGAGGTGTACAGTCATCTCGGCGTAATTGCGTGAATACTTATGCAAATACGCCGCTAGCCCAAGGAATTTTCGAATACCTTTGACATCGACCGGCACGGGCCAGTCGGTGATCGCCTTGATCTTTTCGGGATCAGGACGTACACCGTTCTTACCAACGATGCACCCAAGAAGTGGTATTTCGCTTGCTGCAAATATACACTTCTTGAGGTTTGCATACAATTGATGCTTTCGCATGATTGTAAGAACTTGTCGGACGTGGTACTTGTGAACCTCAACGTCCGAATTTCCATCCATAGCTCGACTATGGATGAATACGTCATCGAAATAACTCGGCGCGAATTCTCGTACTGGCCTCAACAGATGTGATACACACCTGTTGAACGTGGCAGGGGCATTACTGAGCCCTTGTGGCATTACTAGCCATTCCCAGAGCATGCCGCTAGGCGTGCTAACTGCGGTATAGGGTATATCCCGTTCCCGCATTAGGATTTGATAGAAGCCATCCATCAAATCCATGGACGAAAAGATGGTACTCTTTGACATACCATCAATGATTACTTCCTTCCTCGGTATCGGCGTCTGAGCCGGTACCGTTGCAGCATTCAATTTGTTGAACGCGTGCACTATCCGCCACCCTCCTGTTGCTTTTCGCACACAAAAGGTCGGAGAGCTATGTGGGGAAGTTGATTCCCTCACATGGCCCGCAGCTAAACGATCGGCAAAGAAATTGTCGATCGCAAGTACTTGTTCACGAGGCAGTGGCCACTGCTTCATGACACAGTACTTCGAGCCTGGTTTAAGCTCGACCTCGTGTCGAATACCTTTATCCTTCGGTAATTTGCACGGAACAGTTTCAGGGAATACATCCTTGAATTCAACCAAATCTTCATAGAGAGGATTTTCCTTGAGCGATTCCCATGATTGGGACTCATATCGCTCAACTCGTGTCTTTTCATCTAGGACACTCTCGTCCATAGATGAACTACTGAGAACTCTCTCGTTCTCAGTAAACACTGTTGCTGACCTTATGTCGGTTACATACTCGTCTTCAGCGACGAGTATGCAGATCTGCTTGACTTTGCCACTACGCAGATCACGCAAGAATCTTTTATGTTCGAGCGTTGGCAACTGAGTGATCTCCGAAGTTAACTTCGGAGGCGCAATCAGATCAAGTGTATAAGCGCCTACACATGATCCGTTATTGACTATGACATTCAATGTCTCTGTCATTTCCTGGGGACTTATTCCCTCAGGCTTCGAAGGACTTATTCCTTCGTCTTCCCGGGGACTTATTCCCGCGGGTTTCGGGGAACTTATTTCCGCCGTATTTGTAATCTTGGGACTTATTCCCTTTACTTCCTCTAGCTGGGGTTGCGCAACCACAGCGAGATCCTCTACGAAAGACTCTCCAGTCGATCTAGGATTATCGTTTCGCTTAACCTGAGCGATCGATTGTTTCTCTTCTAGATGTTCCCCTCTAGGGATACATCTTTGTCCCAGTCCACCCGACTTATTCGAGTGGTGGACCTTCGGCGCAGCCTGTGTTTCCTCACAGCCGCCGGAACTTTGCTCCGAAGTGTAACCGTTTGGTACACTAAGGTTTTGTGCAGTCGTACTAACGACCGTACCACAAGTGAGGCCATCGCACTCACTCGTAGTACATCCACACGCTTGTGGACGCTCCAAAACGTTCATCAGATGGCCATCTGATGAACAAGCGGCAGGCATCGTTACTGTCCGATGTTGCCAGTTTACCCGTGGTTCGTACCTTCTGAGCCACGGTATTCCAAGGATGACATCAAATTTGTCATCCAAATCCAATACGATAAAGTCATCGTCGTATTGGGTATCTTCTAGCGTATAGTGAATCTTCACTATACGCTTCATATTGGTTACGGATGCGCCTGTCGCAAGACGTACCGTCATCCTCGTAGGAGGTGTGTCACATTCACTGAATTTAAAGTGACCATCTTCTAGCGATTGGCGTCGCACAAAATTGTTGGACGCCCCACAATCGACTAGAGCTCGAAGGGACAACTTATTCGTCACTTCGAGTTTCAAGGTAATGAGTGAGATCTCATTACCTAGAGCAGCAACGCACAATGTCTGTGTGTTGGGAGCAACCTTCATCAAGAGGCCTACAAATTCTCTTGACGTTGCTGGATCAGTAGGGTGCTCCGCACCTACTGATCCTGTCCGTTTTTTGACGGTCCATCCCGTTGTTGCGTCTTTGCACCAACTGCGTACCCTCGTCCCTGCCCCTTTCTCATGGGTGGACGGTCACTACGCCCAGTGTCGCGAGACACTGGACGAGGGGCACTACACTCGTAAGCGTAGTGTCCTGTCTTTTGACATCTGTTGCATCTCTGCAACTTCTTGTAGCCTGTAGAGCGAGCCTTCTCGCTCTCTACATAACAGAGTTCCATCGGCTCTGGACCTCCGTTGTCATATCGTCTCGGTTGACGATATGATGTCGAGCTGGCGCGAGCCTGTCTCAGACTGAAGTCTTCCTGCTCCGCAATTGAAATGGCTTGTTCTAGTGAATCTAGTTCAAGCCGGAACAGGTGAGTCTTGACGGGACCATCCGCAAGACCCTGCATGAACACCGAAACCAACGTGTGTTCATCCACCGGATTGGAACTTATACAACTCGTGAGATGTCGTATATGTTGAGCGTAAGCGTGCACATCACGCTTACCCTGCTTGAGCTTCAAGAGTTCGGTTCGAGCTCTGAACTCAGCTCTAGGCGGTTCAAACGTTTGTCTGAGCCGCGACTTGAAGAACTTCCAACGACCCAAACGCATATGGGTCGTGCAGCTTGAGCCCCAGTGCCCAAGTCTTGGCACGTCCTGCCAGATTTGACTGGGCAAATGCAACTTGCATATCCCCGTCGTCGATGCGACGCGCCCTTATGGCGTCATCCAATTCGACGAACCATCTCAAGAGGGAGTCTTCTTCGACCCCCCTATACTTTGAGATGTCAATCTTCAAAGTCTCGGGCCGACGCGAGTGCATCGACCCGCCAGCAGCAGCCTGCTGCTGTCTCAACAGTTCAAACTGTTGAGCACCTTGTTCTCTCAACAACTCTGCTTGTTGAGAACCTTGTTGGTGAAGCAAGGCTACTTTCTCGCGTTCTGCGTCAAGTTCATTTTGAATGAACTTGGCGATAGTAGCATGTTGGGCATCTCTATTGAGAGCCTCTAGCATGACGCTAACAGCATGGATGCCCATGGTCGAACCCATTCGTTCAACCGCATCCCATTCGACATCGCTCAAATGGGAGTAGCCGTCACGCGTAGCGTGAAAGCTTTGGTCATCTTCATCATCCAACATATTCATGTTGGATGTGAACGCGGTCCTTGGACGGACTACGAAGTGCTACCAGGTGTAACGGGGCACCCTGAAGCTTGTACTGGTGACAGTACAAGCTACTTATTCTGATAACAGAATAAGGCGGTGCCTCGTAACTTCACGTACACTCGTACGTGAAGAGGAAGACGGTAAGAAGAAGCGAGTACTTGGTTAGAGTAAAAAGTAGAACTGTATTTATAATAGTTAATGTCTGCAATAAATCACTATTTATCTTCATCTAACTATGTCTAAATACAAATGTGTAAATCAGTTATCTGCTCACCACTCATTGCGTGCGTCTGTCGTGGCGCGTCTTCGTTGGTTGATATAATGGCCTATATCAACCAATTAGGAACTACTTGGAAGTGCTACAGAATATTGTCCTTATGACAATATTCTGAGAATATAACTCTTATAGTTATATTCTATTAACAATTTCTTATAAATTGTTATGTAACGATTCACCCCGTTACAGTGACCATGAACACTGGCCACCCATCGTGACCATGAACACTGGCCACCCATCGTGACCATGAACACTGGTCACCCATCGTGAACGTGACCACTGGTCACCCATCTTGACCGTGACCACTGATCACCCATCGTGACCATGACCACCGGTCGCCCATAGTGACCATGACAGGTCATTCATTCGTCGTGACCCTAACCGGTGGTCATAATCTGTGACCGCGACTGATGACTTGCAAACCGTCCCGCTTATCGTTGGGGTTCTCTGTAGCGGTCAGTCCCAAGACCGGCATGACGGGTCCTACATGCACTTACGAAATGATCAAGGCGATTGATCAGGATTAACTTTGACCACTTCACCACAGTCGGTCCCTGCTCTGTTTGTCGGTAGCCGGTGCCGATCTGGCTGAACACTTTTTGATCTGCCTTCCCCTGATCATTTCTGGAAATGTTGCTGCCATCTCACCAGGCCGTTGAACACCCCTGCCTTCGGGCTCGACGTCTCCTCAGCTGACTCCGCTGCGGTCGGCCACCCCTGCTCCTGACGACGACGATCACACTGGCCTTGAACCAGACGCGACCGAGCCTGACCACCTCGCCGACCCCGCTCCGGCTGACCACCTTGCCGACTCTGTTGGCTTTTCGGTCGGATCTGATGACGCCCCGGCGGACGATGCCTCTTCTACTGATTCTGATCCTACCGATGCTGACGTGGGTAGCGACCAAGTGCGCAACGTGGACACTGGCGAATCTGACTAAGCCGCCGCGCTCCGGCTGACCACCTTGCCGACTCTGTTGGCTTTTCGGTCGGATCTGATGACGCCCCGGCGGACGATGCCTCTTCTGCCGATTCTGATCCTACCGATGCTGACGTGGGTAGCGACCAAGTGCGCAACGTGGACACTGACGAATCTGACTAAGCCGCCGCGCTCCGGCTGACCACCTCGCCGAACCAGCTCCGGCTGACCACCTTGCCGACTCTGTTGGCTTTTCGGTCGGGTCTGATGATTCCCCGGTGGACGATGCCTCTTCTGCCGATTCTGATCCTACCGATGCTGACGTGGGTAACGACCAAGTGCGCAACGTGGACACTGCCGAATCTGACTAAGCCGCCGCGCTCCGGTTGACCACCTCGCCGAACCAGCTCCGGCTGACCACCTTGCCGACTCTGTTGGCTTTTCGGTCGGATTTGATGACGCCCCGGCGGACGATGCCTCTTCTGCCGATTCTGATCCTACCGATGCTGACGTGGGTAGCGACCAAGTGCGCAACGTGGACACTGACGATTCTGACTAAGCCGCCGCGCTCCGGCTGACCACCTCGCCGACCCCGCTCCGGCTGACCACCTTGCCGACTCTGTTGGCTTTTCGGTCGGATCTGATGACGCCCCGGCGGACAATGCCTCTTCTGCCGATTCTGATCCTACCGATGCTGACGTGGGTAGCGACCAAGTGCGCAACGTGGACACTGACGATTCTGACTAAGCCGCCGCGCTCCGGCTGACCACCTCGCCGAACCCGCTCCGGCTGACCACCTTGCCGACTCTGTTGGCTTTTCGGTCGGATCTGATGACGCCCCGGCGGACGATGCCTCTTCTGCCGATTCTGATCCTACCGATGCTGACGTGGGTAGCGACCAAGTGCGCAACGTGGACACTGGCGAATCTGACTAAGCCGCCGCGCTCCGGCTGACCACCTCGCCGACCCAGCTCCGGCTGACCACCTTGCCGACTCTGTTGGCTTTTCGGTCGGATCTGATGACGCCCCGGCGGACGATGCCTCTTCTGCCGATTCTGATCCTACCGATGCTGACGTGGGTAGCGACCAAGTGCGCAACGTGGACACTGACGAATCTGACTAAGCCGCCGCGCTCCGGCTGACCACCTCGCCGAACCAGCTCCGGCTGACCACCTTGCCGACTCTGTTGGCTTTTCGGTCGGATCTGATGACGCCCCGGCGGACGATGCCTCTTCTGCCGATTCTGATCCTACCGATGCTGACGTGGGTAACGACCAAGTGCGCAACGGGGACACTGGCGAATCTGACTAAGCCGCCGCGCTCCGGCTGACCACCTCGCCGAACCAGCTCCGGCTGACCACCTTGCCGACTCTGTTGGCTTTTCGGTCGGATCTGATGACGCCCCGGCGGACGATGCCTCTTCTGCCGATTCTGATCCTACCGATGCTGACGTGGGTAGCGACCAAGTGCGCAACGTGGACACTGCCGAATCTGACTAAGCCGCCGCGCTCCGGCTGACCACCTCGCCGAACCAGCTCCGGCTGACCACCTTGCCGACTCTGTTGGCTTTTCGGTCGGATCTGATGACGCCCCGGCGGACGATGCCTCTTCTGCCGATTCTGATCCTACCGATGCTGACGTGGGTAGCGACCAAGTGCGCAACGTGGACACTGACGAATCTGACTAAGCCGCCGCGCTCCGGCTGACCACCTCGCCGACCCCGCTCCGGCTGACCACCTTGCCGACTCTGTTGGCTTTTCGGTCGGATCTGATGACGCCCCGGCGGACGATGCCTCTTCTGCCGATTCTGATCCTACCGATGCTGACGTGGGTAGCGACCAAGTGCGCAACGTGGACACTGACGAATCTGACTAAGCCGCCGCGCTCCGGCTGACCACCTCGCCGACCCCGCTCCGGCTGACCACCTTGCCGACTCTGTTGGCTTTTCGGTCGGATCTGATGACGCCCCGGCGGACGATGCCTCTTCTGCCGATTCTGATCCTACCGATGCTGACGTGGGTAGCGACCAAGTGCGCAACGTGGACACTGACGAATCTGACTAAGCCGCCGCGCTCCGGCTGACCACCTCGCCGAACCAGCTCCGGCTGACCACCTTGCCGACTCTGTTGGCTTTTCGGTCGGATCTGATGACGCCCCGGCGGACGATGCCTCTTCTGCCGATTCTGATCCTACCGATGCTGACGTGGGTAGCGACCAAGTGCGCAACGTGGACACTGACGAATCTGACTAAGCCGCCGCGCTCCGGTTGACCACCTCGCCGAACCAGCTCCGGCTGACCACCTTGCCGACTCTGTTGGCTTTTCGGTCGGATCTGATGACGCCCCGGCGGACGATGCCTCTTCTGCCGATTCTGATCCTACCGATGCTGACGTGGGTAGCGACCAAGTGCGCAACGTGGACACTGACGATTCTGACTAAGCCGCCGCGCTCCGGCTGACCACCTCGCCGACCCCGCTCCGGCTGACCACCTTGCCGACTCTGTTGGCTTTTCGGTCGGATCTGATGACGCCCCGGCGGACGATGCCTCTTCTGCCGATTCTGATCCTACCGATGCTGACGTGGGTAGCGACCAAGTGCGCAACGTGGACACTGGCGAATCTGACTAAGCCGCCGCGCTCCGGTTGACCACCTCGCCGAACCAGCTCCGGCTGACCACCTTGCCGACTCTGTTGGCTTTTCGGTCGGATCTGATGACGCCCCGGCGGACGATGCCTCTTCTGCCGATTCTGATCCTACCGATGCTGACGTGGGTAGCGACCAAGTGCGCAACGTGGACACTGACGAATCTGACTAAGCCGCCGCGCTCCGGCTGACCACCTCGCCGAACCAGCTCCGGCTGACCACCTTGCCGACTCTGTTGGCTTTTCGGTCGGATCTGATGACGCCCCGGCGGACGATGCCTCTTCTGCCGATTCTGATCCTACCGATGCTGACGTGGGTAGCGACCAAGTGCGCAACGTGGACACTGGCGAATCTGACTAAGCCGCCGCGCTCCGGTTGACCACCTCGCCGAACCAGCTCCGGCTGACCACCTTGCCGACTCTGTTGGCTTTTCGGTCGGATCTGATGACGCCCCGGCGGACGATGCCTCTTCTGCCGATTCTGATCCTACCGATGCTGACGTGGGTAGCGACCAAGTGCGCAACGTGGACACTGACGAATCTGACTAAGCCGCCGCGCTCCGGCTGACCACCTCGCCGAACCAGCTCCGGCTGACCACCTTGCCGACTCTGTTGGCTTTTCGGTCGGATCTGATGACGCCCCGGCGGACGATGCCTCTTCTGCCGATTCTGATCCTACCGATGCTGACGTGGGTAGCGACCAAGTGCGCAACGTGGACACTGCCGAATCTGACTAAGCCGCCGCGCTCCGGCTGACCACCTCGCCGAACCAGCTCCGGCTGACCACCTTGCCGACTCTGTTGGCTTTTCGGTCGGATCTGATGACGCCCCGGCGGACGATGCCTCTTCTGCCGATTCTGATCCTACCGATGCTGACGTGGGTAGCGACCAAGTGCGCAACGTGGACACTGCCGAATCTGACTAAGCCGCCGCGCTCCGGCTGACCACCTCGCCGAACCAGCTCCGGCTGACCACCTTGCCGACTCTGTTGGCTTTTCGGTCGGATTTGATGACGCCCCGGCGGACGATGCCTCTTCTGCCGATTCTGATCCTACCGATGCTGACGTGGGTAGCGACCAAGTGCGCAACGTGGACACTGCCGAATCTGACTAAGCCGCCGCGCTCCGGTTACCACCTCGCCGAACCAGCTCCGGCTGACCACCTTGCCGACTCTGTTGGCTTTTCGGTCGGATCTGATGACGCCCCGGCGGACGATGCCTCTTCTGCTGATTCTGATCCTACCGATGCTGACGTGGTAGCGACCAAGTGCGCAACGTGGACACTGCCGAATCTGACTAAGCCGCCGCGCTCCAGCTGACCACCTCGCCGACCCCGCTCCGGCTGACCACCTTGCCGACTCTGTTGGCTTTTCGGTCGGATCTGATGACGCCCCGGCGGACGATGCCTCTTCTGCCGATTCTGATCCTACCGATGCTGACGTGGGTAGCGACCAAGTGCGCAACGTGGACACTGACGATTCTGACTAAGCCGCCGCGCTCCGGTTGACCACCTCGCCGAACCAGCTCCGGCTGACCACCTTGCCGACTCTGTTGGCTTTTCGGTCGGATCTGATGACGCCCCGGCGGACGATGCCTCTTCTGCCGATTCTGATCCTACCGATGCTGACGTGGGTAGCGACCAAGTGCGCAACGTGGACACTGACGAATCTGACTAAGCCGCCGCGCTCCGGCTGACCACCTCGCCGAACCAGCTCCGGCTGACCACCTTGCCGACTCTGTTGGCTTTTCGGTCGGATCTGATGACGCCCCGGCGGACGATGCCTCTTCTGCCGATTCTGATCCTACCGATGCTGACGTGGGTAGCGACCAAGTGCGCAACGTGGACACTGCCGAATCTGACTAAGCCGCCGCGCTCCGGTTGACCACCTCGCCGAACCAGCTCCGGCTGACCACCTTGCCGACTCTGTTGGCTTTTCGGTCGGATCTGATGACGCCCCGGCGGACGATGCCTCTTCTGCCGATTCTGATCCTACCGATGCTGACGTGGGTAGCGACCAAGTGCGCAACGTGGACACTGCCGAATCTGACTAAGCCGCCGCGCTCCGGCTGACCACCTCGCCGACCCAGCTCCGGCTGACCACCTTGCCGACTCTGTTGGCTTTTCGGTCGGATCTGATGACGCCCCGGCGGACGATGCCTCTTCTGCCGATTCTGATCCTACCGATGCTGACGTGGGTAGCGACCAAGTGCGCAACGTGGACACTGACGAATCTGACTAAGCCGCCGCGCTCCGGTTGACCACCTCGCCGAACCAGCTCCGGCTGACCACCTTGCCGACTCTGTTGGCTTTTCGGTCGGATCTGATGACGCCCCGGCGGACGATGCCTCTTCTGCCGATTCTGATCCTACCGATGCTGACGTGGGTAGCGACCAAGTGCGCAACGTGGACACTGCCGAATCTGACTAAGCCGCCGCGCTCCGGCTGACCACCTCGCCGAACCCGCTCCGGCTGACCACCTTGCCGACTCTGTTGGCTTTTCGGTCGGATCTGATGACGCCCCGGCGGACGATGCCTCTTCTGCCGATTCTGATCCTACCGATGCTGACGTGGGTAGCGACCAAGTGCGCAACGTGGACACTGACGATTCTGACTAAGCCGCCGCGCTCCGGTTGACCACCTCGCCGAACCAGCTCCGGCTGACCACCTTGCCGACTCTGTTGGCTTTTCGGTCGGATCTGATGACGCCCCGGCGGACGATGCCTCTTCTGCCGATTCTGATCCTACCGATGCTGACGTGGGTAGCGACCAAGTGCGCAACGTGGACACTGCCGAATCTGACTAAGCCGCCGCGCTCCAGCTGACCACCTCGCCGACCCCGCTCCGGCTGACCACCTTGCCGACTCTGTTGGCTTTTCGGTCGGATCTGATGACGCCCCGGCGGACGATGCCTCTTCTGCCGATTCTGATCCTACCGATGCTGACGTGGGTAGCGACCAAGTGCGCAACGTGGACACTGACGATTCTGACTAAGCCGCCGCGCTCCGGTTGACCACCTCGCCGAACCAGCTCCGGCTGACCACCTTGCCGACTCTGTTGGCTTTTCGGTCGGATCTGATGACGCCCCGGCGGACGATGCCTCTTCTGCCGATTCTGATCCTACCGATGCTGACGTGGGTAGCGACCAAGTGCGCAACGTGGACACTGACGAATCTGACTAAGCCGCCGCGCTCCGGCTGACCACCTCGCCGAACCAGCTCCGGCTGACCACCTTGCCGACTCTGTTGGCTTTTCGGTCGGATCTGATGACGCCCCGGCGGACGATGCCTCTTCTGCCGATTCTGATCCTACCGATGCTGACGTGGGTAGCGACCAAGTGCGCAACGTGGACACTGGCGAATCTGACTAAGCCGCCGCGCTCCGGCTGACCACCTCGCCGAACCAGCTCCGGCTGACCACCTTGCCGACTCTGTTGGCTTTTCGGTCGGATCTGATGACGCCCCGGCGGACGATGCCTCTTCTGCCGATTCTGATCCTACCGATGCTGACGTGGGTAGCGACCAAGTGCGCAACGTGGACACTGGCGAATCTGACTAAGCCGCCGCGCTCCGGCTGACCACCTCGCCGACCCCGCTCCGGCTGACCACCTTGCCGACTCTGTTGGCTTTTCGGTCGGATCTGATGACGCCCCGGCGGACGATGCCTCTTCTGCCGATTCTGATCCTACCGATGCTGACGTGGGTAGCGACCAAGTGCGCAACGTGGACACTGCCGAATCTGACTAAGCCGCCGCGCTCCGGCTGACCACCTCGCCGAACCAGCTCCGGCTGACCACCTTGCCGACTCTGTTGGCTTTTCGGTCGGATCTGATGACGCCCCGGCGGACGATGCCTCTTCTGCCGATTCTGATCCTACCGATGCTGACGTGGGTAGCGACCAAGTGCGCAACGTGGACACTGCCGAATCTGACTAAGCCGCCGCGCTCCGGCTGACCACCTCGCCGAACCAGCTCCGGCTGACCACCTTGCCGACTCTGTTGGCTTTTCGGTCGGATCTGATGACGCCCCGGCGGACGATGCCTCTTCTGCCGATTCTGATCCTACCGATGCTGACGTGGGTAGCGACCAAGTGCGCAACGTGGACACTGCCGAATCTGACTAAGCCGCCGCGCTCCGGTTGACCACCTCGCCGAACCAGCTCCGGCTGACCACCTTGCCGACTCTGTTGGCTTTTCGGTCGGATCTGATGACGCCCCGGCGGACGATGCCTCTTCTGCCGATTCTGATCCTACCGATGCTGACGTGGGTAGCGACCAAGTGCGCAACGTGGACACTGGCGAATCTGACTAAGCCGCCGCGCTCCGGTTGACCACCTCGCCGAACCAGCTCCGGCTGACCACCTTGCCGACTCTGTTGGCTTTTCGGTCGGATCTGATGACGCCCCGGCGGACGATGCCTCTACTTTCTGCTCCTTCTATCCTCCGATGCTGACGTGGGTAGCGACCAAGTGCGCAACGTGGACACTGGCGAATCTGACTAAGCCGCCGCGCTCCGGCTGACCACCTCGCCGACCCCGCTCCGGCTGACCACCTTGCCGACTCTGTTGGCTTTTCGGTCGGATCTGATGACGCCCCGGCGGACGATGCCTCTTCTGCCGATTCTGATCCTACCGATGCTGACGTGGGTAGCGACCAAGTGCGCAACGTGGACACTGCCGAATCTGACTAAGCCGCCGCGCTCCGGCTGACCACCTCGCCGAACCAGCTCCGGCTGACCACCTTGCCGACTCTGTTGGCTTTTCGGTCGGATCTGATGACGCCCCGGCGGACGATGCCTCTTCTGCCGATTCTGATCCTACCGATGCTGACGTGGGTAGCGACCAAGTGCGCAACGTGGACACTGCCGAATCTGACTAAGCCGCCGCGCTCCGGCTGACCACCTCGCCGAACCAGCTCCGGCTGACCACCTTGCCGACTCTGTTGGCTTTTCGGTCGGATCTGATGACGCCCCGGCGGACGATGCCTCTTCTGCCGATTCTGATCCTACCGATGCTGACGTGGGTAGCGACCAAGTGCGCAACGTGGACACTGCCGAATCTGACTAAGCCGCCGCGCTCCGGTTGACCACCTCGCCGAACCAGCTCCGGCTGACCACCTTGCCGACTCTGTTGGCTTTTCGGTCGGATCTGATGACGCCCCGGCGGACGATGCCTCTTCTGCCGATTCTGATCCTACCGATGCTGACGTGGGTAGCGACCAAGTGCGCAACGTGGACACTGCCGAATCTGACTAAGCCGCCGCGCTCCGGTTGACCACCTCGCCGAACCAGCTCCGGCTGACCACCTTGCCGACTCTGTTGGCTTTTCGGTCGGATCTGATGACGCCCCGGCGGACGATGCCTCTTCTGCCGATTCTGATCCTACCGATGCTGACGTGGGTAGCGACCAAGTGCGCAACGTGGACACTGGCGAATCTGACTAAGCCGCCGCGCTCCGGCTGACCACCTCGCCGAACCAGCTCCGGCTGACCACCTTGCCGACTCTGTTGGCTTTTCGGTCGGATCTGATGAGCCCCGGCGGACGATGCCTCTTCTGCCGATCTGATCCTACCGATGCTGAGGGTAGCGACCAAGTGCGCAAGTGGACACTGACGATTCTGACTAAGCCGCCGCGCTCCGGCTGACCACCTCGCCGACCCCGCTCCGGCTGACCACCTTGCCGACTCTGTTGGCTTTTCGGTCGGATCTGATGACGCCCCGGCGGACGATGCCTCTTCTGCCGATTCTGATCCTACCGATGCTGACGTGGGTAGCGACCAAGTGCGCAACGTGGACACTGCCGAATCTGACTAAGCCGCCGCGCTCCGGCTGACCACCTCGCCGACCCAGCTCCGGCTGACCACCTTGCCGACTCTGTTGGCTTTTCGGTCGGATCTGATGACGCCCCGGCGGACGATGCCTCTTCTGCCGATTCTGATCCTACCGATGCTGACGTGGGTAGCGACCAAGTGCGCAACGTGGACACTGGCGAATCTGACTAAGCCGCCGCGCTCCGGCTGACCACCTCGCCGACCCCGCTCCGGCTGACCACCTTGCCGACTCTGTTGGCTTTTCGGTCGGATCTGATGATGCCCCGGCGGACGATGCCTCTTCTGCCGATTCTGATCCTACCGATGCTGACGTGGGTAGCGACCAAGTGCGCAACGTGGACACTGACGAATCTGACTAAGCCGCCGCGCTCCGGCTGACCACCTCGCCGAACCAGCTCCGGCTGACCACCTTGCCGACTCTGTTGGCTTTTCGGTCGGGTCTGATGACGCCCCGGTGGACGATGCCTCTTCTGCCGATGTTGAGCCTACCGATGCTGACGTGGGTAGCGACCAAGTGCGCAACGTGGACACTGCCGAATCTGACTAAGCCGCCGCGCTCCAGTTGACCACCTCGCCGACCCCGCTCCGGCTGACCACCTTGCCGACTCTGTTGGCTTTTCGGTCGGATCTGATGACGCCCCGGCGGACGATGCCTCTTCTGCCGATTCTGATCCTACCGATGCTGACGTGGGTAGCAACCAAGTGCGCAACGTGGACACTGCCGAATCTGACTAAGCCGCCGCGCTTCGGCTGACCACCTCGCCGAACCAGCTCCGGCTGACCACCTTGCCGACTCTGTTGGCTTTTCGGTCGGATCTGATGACGCCCCGGTGGACGATGCCTCTACTGCCGATTCTGATCCTACCGATGCTGACGTGGGTAGCGACCAAGTGCGCAACGTGGACACTGGCGAATCTGACTAAGCCGCCGCGCTCCGGCTGACCACCTCGCCGACCCCGCTCCGGCTGACCACCTTGCCGACTCTGTTGGCTTTTCGGTCGGATCTGATGACGCCCCGGCGGACGATGCCTCTTCTGCCGATTCTGATCCTACCGATGCTGACGTGGGTAGCGACCAAGTGCGCAACGTGGACACTGACGAATCTGACTAAGCCGCCGCGCTCCGGCTGACCACCTCGCCGACCCCGCTCCGGCTGACCACCTTGCCGACTCTGTTGGCTTTTCGGTCGGATCTGATGATGCCCCGGCGGACGATGCCTCTTCTGCCGATTCTGATCCTACCGATGCTGACGTGGGTAGCGACCAAGTGCGCAACGTGGACACTGACGAATCTGACTAAGCCGCCGCGCTCCGGCTGACCACCTCGCCGAACCAGCTCCGGCTGACCACCTTGCCGACTCTGTTGGCTTTTCGGTCGGATCTGATGACGCCCCGGCGGACGATGCCTCTTCTACTGATTCTGATCCTACCGATGCTGACGTGGGTAGCGACCAAGTGCGCAACGTGGACACTGACGATTCTGACTAAGCCGCCGCGCTCCGGTTGACCACCTCGCCGAACCAGCTCCGGCTGACCACCTTGCCGACTCTGTTGGCTTTTCGGTCGGATCTGATGACGCCCCGGCGGACGATGCCTCTTCTGCCGATTCTGATCCTACCGATGCTGACGTGGGTAGCGACCAAGTGCGCAACGTGGACACTGCCGAATCTGACTAAGCCGCCGCGCTCCGGCTGACCACCTCGCCGAACCAGCTCCGGCTGACCACCTTGCCGACTCTGTTGGCTTTTCGGTCGGATCTGATGACGTCCCGGCGGACGATGTCTCTACTGCCGATTCTGATCCTACCGATGCTGACGTGGGTAGCGACCAAGTGCGCAACGTGGACACTGCCGAATCTGACTAAGCCGCCGCGCTCCGGCTGACCACCTCGCCGACCCCGCTCCGGCTGACCACCTTGCCGACTCTGTTGGCTTTTCGGTCGGATTTGATGACGCCCCGGCGGACGATGCCTCTTCTGCCAATGCTGATCCTACCGATGATGACGTGGGTAGTGACCAAGTGCATGACGTGGACACGACCGAGGTTGACCGGTTAGCTAAGGAGTATGAAGATTTACGGAGAGCGGTAGCAACACGTGAGCAGCGTGTTGCTCCACTGTGGATAGGTTTCGATGCGCTTGCTCGCAGCTTTGCACAACGTGGTCGGGAGCTTGACCAATTGAAAACGGATCGCGCTTTAAGCCACCAAGAGCTTCACCGCTTACGATCCTCCCATGCTCCTTTCATCGAGGAACTAGCACTGTTGAGAGCAGAACGAGATCTGCTTACTCGCGACCGCCAGGCTCAGCTCAACCATCTGGGCAACTTCGTTATGGGGCTTCCGCCGTCGGTGGGGCTCGCTTATGATAAGCGGCGGAGAGAGAAGTCAGCGGCCGATCCTGTGCCACCCCCGAACAAGCGTGCGCGCGTTACGGTCACCTCGAGCTCTGCTTCTAGGTCTCCATCTGACGTGGTCCCGCCCGTAGACTATGTGACCCAGCAGCGATCCGCTTCAAATTCTCTCGGTCATCCTCGCGTTGCGGTCGGACCAGATTTGCCTGCCAGCCTTTCCTCTACGGTCGCAGGGCCCGCCGGCCCAACTACCCATTCACGATCGGCATCCACTCACCCCAAGTCCCGGCAGGCGTCTCGCCTTCGCCTCGACGTCCCCAAGATTCTAGCACGTACGACCAGAAAATCGTCCAAGCCCAAGACCGTGACCACGCCACTGTCTGTTATGACTCGGCGGTCACAGACGCAAACACGAGCGCGTTTCCCCTCCGCATATCATGTGCAGGATAGCGACGGCTCCGTAGAATCTGCTGAAGAGGCCATGCTCATCGCACTGTCACGGTCGCGTTCTTCCGTTCGACGGCGGTCTTCTGTCTCGGCCACAAGATCTGCTAACGGGATGGATGATACTCCGATCGAGATCGATCCAGCCATTCAAACACCCGCGACTCGTCCGGATCCGTCAAGACGTGATACTCGTACTTCATCAGCCGTCTCCAGGTCGCCGCCCATCGCTGCGACACCTCCGACCACAGAGCCACCCAGGGCGTCCGACGAGTCCGATGGGTCGGTGAGGGTACCAAGCTACGGTCATGCCCCAGTAAACAAGCTCTTATCCCCGACCGCCTTCAAGGCTTTACCCCCCGTGCGGTCCTCGCGCGATAAGTGGATACCTGGGTATTGCACTCGTGCAACTTATGCCCCTGGCTAGCTTTCGCTGTGGTCATCCCATCGCTTGGGCTTGGTCACTGTAGGTCACCTGGACTTGGATCTCTTGTTCCACCACTACTCCCGGCCCAATCACTATCTGTTCCCGATTCCACACGGTTCCCTGTGTCCGCCAACTGAAGCTCAGCGGTCCCCGCGGCTAGTGACCTCCGCCCAGATCGCTGCTTTATACAGCCAAAAACCTTGGGACGTCTTGGATCGGCCTAATGCGCCTGTGTCATTCCGCCCGACTGGCTGGTTTCAAGCTTTGATGATTGCGTATCGTGAGTTCGAAGACCATCATCTCCAGGCGTTATGGGAGTCTACTCATGTGCTCCCGATCATCGTCTGTCCAAGTCGTGCGAAAGACCCTGGATTGAGCGTCTTCTATAAAGAAAGGCGTCGTCGGCGTTCCAGGTCCAGCCCCCAGTGGAAGGCTGTACTCTGTATCGTGTAAGAGGGTTTGATCGGGGGTCAGTGTGACCTGAAATCCTGTTGGACCCCTTCTTCCTGCACTTTCCAGGACGGTTTGAGAAATGTTGGTGGTATCCAGGGCTTGGCTGTCGACAGACCAACATCCCGAATCTGGCCTCAGCCTTACTCCTTGTGGATTCCGCTGACCCCTGGCGCAATCAATATCGGGCAGCCATTGCTGACCACCCAGGCTCGTCCATCGATCGTCTCCGGACCAAGTTTGTAGCGCAGTGAAAAGTCGTCTCCAGCATGAGAGACCATGACGTTTATGGTCACAGCCATGACCACCAGTCGCTGCTTATTAAATTCACTTCTATAGTAGTCTGTTCACTGTGTTTCCTTGCTTCTGTGTACACCGCTTTGGTTGACCATGCAACTCCTTCACATTCATAACTTACGTAGACATTTCTCATCCTTTCACAGACCAGGCGGTCACAGTGTTTCTTGGCCGCGGTCACCGCTCTTGGTCATCTTAGCTGTATGATCACCATGTTAGTTGACCACATCACTCCTTCACATTTATGGTTCACGTGGTCATCCCTCGTTCTCTTACAGATTACACAGTCCCCATTCTTCAAGGCCGCGTTTACCGTCCATGGTCACCCTAACACCTGGATTCTTCCTCAGGTACTTGCATCACTTCGAAACGGTTTCGCCTAGCTCGATCACGTTCAAACTCTTGCAATAAAGCACCACGATTAAGGTTTGCCTCATCCACCCAAGTCTCATCCTTATGACCCTTCCATCAGACCAGGAACTGTCGGTGTACCCTTCCGTACCGAGTCTTTCGTCCTGTTCTCACATCTCGGATACTATCCACCTCGTATTCTCCTTAGGCTAGATCGTTTGCCCAGCTGTCCTCTGAAAGCAGAGCTTTGTCAAATCAACAAGCTCTGTTTATTCCACCTCCAGCCGCGCAGCAGGTCGATCAGGGAAATTATGTACTAGCCTCAGCTTGGATACGTGAACGAGTGGGAACAATCGGTATGGGGTCCCTTGTATCTCTAACCGCACTGCATGTCCCCCGCTCTTCTCGATCACCCAAAACGGGCCGTGCCACATGTGAGCTAGCTTCCTGGCATATCTCTCCTTCACTCGATCCAAATATAGCCACACTTGGCTACCGCGGCTGATTCCATTTGGCCCTTGACCAACGTTGTATCGGTCAGCTCGGTCTTGAACAACGTCCTTAAGTCGGTCATTCACCGTAGCGCGGGCTCGTTGATATTGCCGCTGTATGTGATAGCGCCATCTCCGGGGATCCCGATCATGTATTTTAGTACATTCCAACGGCAAGGTCGCTTCCAGCGTTGATCGCGGATCCCACCATGGATAAGATAGAACGGTGTATCACCCCGTACTCGGTCATGGGCCGTATTGGTGGCGAAGGTCAGGCGATCAGCGTATTCGTCCCAATCTTGTTGGTTCACATCCGTGGCATACATTTTAGCGCCCTGGTCAATGTTTGGACCATACGTTCAGCTGTACCACTGGATCGAGGCCGATACGCCATTGTGGCACGTTGTTCCTGACTAGCGATGCGGTTGAACGCGCGAAAGAAATCCGACATGAATCTGGGTTCGCGGTCGTGATGAATAGATTCACTTGCCCCAAACCGCCGGAAGACATATTCTTCATACCTTTCCGCGATCGTCTGGGCCGTCCTTGACGAGCTAGATTTAGCGATCACGCAGCCAGAAAAAAATCCACCCAAAGCAACAATTCGGTATTTCCTTTTAATGACCTGGGTAACGAGGGGATATGATCCATTGCAATGATCTGGAACGGGTACGTGGCGTGTAAATTCCCCGGGGATTCGCCTCGTAGGATCGGACATCCTTTACCGGTTTTGCAGTCGGCACACTTCCCCACGTACCTTGCACGCTTCTAAACAAGCCTCTCCAATGAAAGTGCGATCGCACGCGGTGATACGTTCGGCCTACCCTTTGGTGACCACCTTCCAGACTTGCATGGTAGTAGTGTAGGACATCATCTTGCAGTAATTCCGGAACCACCAAACGGACGAGATCCGCGCGGTCACTGGGGTTTGCTGCTGCTCGTGGGTAAAATTTAACTATCCACCTTCATCCACCACGTAATCCGAGGCAATAACCGCACTTTCTTTTGCTTCCGTAGTATCCAACTCGGTCACATCCCCGACTAAGTAAAGTTTGAGGTTGGTGATCCAACTTTTTTCATCTTGTGTTTGCTTTATGCGCTCCAGTCGTATCTGCTGTATTATTTCCTCTTGCATAATCGTGGGCACTTCACGCCTCCGTATGGATGATCGTGTGATCGCCGTTATCTTGGCCACTTGATTGTTGGTCGCTGGTACTAATATCTCGTCCAGTCGGTTCATCGCTTGTAAATCATGACAAACCTGCTCCGTTAGTCTGACCATGCCTTTTTCCAGCTGTAAAGCGGAGCTAGCTAGTATATCGGCGCTTTGATTCCAATCGCGCTTAATATGTAAGAATTTATGAGTTGGCCATGATCGCAGTTGATCTAGGACCTTGAGACGCAGTAACTGTAGTCCCGGTGCCTTGCAGTCAATTTCACCCCTCATCTGCCTGATGACCAGGTTGGAATCCCCACAAATGGCCACTCGTCCCCCTGTCTGCTTGACCAATAACTCGCAACTCAGCAGCAACCCATGGTACTCTGCCTCATTCACGGTCAACCCAGTGTCGTATCGCGACGCAGCCGATACTATAGTCCACTCGGGAAGCTTCCGTATTATTTCATTGTAGGCGCCCCCTTTATTCTTGATACGAGCTGCTCCATCAAAGCTGACGACAAGGAGAGATTCTTTGCGGCTAACCGTAGGGGGCGGCATACGGATAATCTGTCTCGGTTGCTTCCGGGGCGCGAGCGCGATCAGCGCTTCATCCACATCCTCCTGTGGTGTGATACTTGCGGCAAGAGTGCCAAGAATTTCGTCCTCTCCTTTGTTGCATCGGTTAATCTCCAGGGTCTAAGTTGACAGTAAAGCTGCCCATCTTCCAAGTCTTCCGTTAAGGCCCGATGATTGAATCAACCACGCCAGAGTTGAATACCGTGTGAGCACCTTAAGGTCCCGAGATACTAGTAGTGCATAACAAACATCTAATATCTGGAGCAGGGCCAGGACTTCTTTCTCCACCACACCTTAGTTAATTTCATTCAGTTCTAACGTGTGACTGGTGAACATAACAGGCCAATTCACTCCTTCGTGTTCTTGCAACAAAGCTGCGGATACCGCCCATTTGCTGGCATAAACCACTATCACTGGCCGACAATCAGGTTCACAATGTCTTAGCACCGGGGTCTGGGCAACTTTTGCTGTCAGCATTAAGAACACGATCATAACTTTTTACCAACGATGACCACTTGTATGTTCGCCATTAGACCCCTCTGTATTCGGTTGGTCATGACCATCCACCTTTGTCATTTGTTGATCACAGCTACCCACCAGCCTCTGGCCATGGTCATCGTCGATATGGGTATCACCATCCTGGTCTTGGTTTGTTGCATGATCATCCTCCGAGTTGTCCATTCACCTAATCTTGTGGAAGTCCGTCTCTCTTAATTCATACAGGACTGAGGCGTATATGGCAAAATCTTCAATGAACCGGCTGTAGTAATTCAAGCTTCCCAAAAAGGACTGCATTGACCGCAACGTTTGGGAAAATAGAACATTGGCCAACGACCCCAAATCCTTTGGATCAGCTTTTATTCCTGATATCGATATCTGGTGCCCGAGATACTCAACCTTGCGTCATCCCCACACACTCTTAGGTAAACTGATCGACAACTTCCACTTATCACAGACTTCCAACAGTCTTTTTACCTTTTGATGGATGGACGTCCAGGACGACGCCGGGATCAGAATTTCATCAATATAGGACCTCCGCCCCAACACTGAACGCTTTCGGTGCGGGTCCGGCTCGCCGTGCGTGAACACGTCGACCGGTTGTGACACCTCGCGACCACTTGATCCCCGCTGTTCACCGATCGTGAGATACCCCCGAATGCATTATCCACCATACGCTGGTCTATCTGCGGTGCGTTTTTCAACCCGAACGGCATACGTAGCCATTCACACAGACCTGAAGGCGTACAAAAAGCAGAAATCATTCGTGCTCTCTCCGTCATTTCCACAACCCAGAATCCGCTGGCCATATCCAATGAACAGTACCATAGCGCTCTGTCCAGGCCCTGCAGTAGGTCGTTGATCAAGGGCATGGGATATACCATTAGCCTCGTCAATTGTTTGACTCGTCGGTAATCCATAGTCGTGTGTCTACCCCATCCTTTTTTACGATCACTACGATCGGCGATGTCCACGGCGAGGTTGAGGGACATACAATCTCTGCCGATAGTAACCCTTTGATCAGGTTCGCCAACTTTTCACGGAACTTTGGGGCGACAGGCCTCACTCGTCGTGCTATTGGGGTCGCCCCTCCCACATCTATGTCACAAATCACGGCTCAAGACGCAGGTGGGACAGCGTTTCCCTTGCCCAGCAATAGATGTCTTGTCTTCCAGATCAGCTGGCATAATTCTTCTTGCTCTTTCTTCAATGGAACCCTGGTTCGCCCACCTGTATATCCTCAATCTTCACCTCGCATAGCGTCGTGTCCACCTCCGGTAAGACTGCCATGTGTTGGCCAACATCTTCCGCGAATAATGTTCCACCTGCGTGTTGGTATGACGTGCACTCCTGTTCTCCTTCGCCGGTGACCGCTGCTTCTTGGTCTCCCAGATGGTCGGGCGGTCGACATACCTCCCAACCCCCAACAGTAATTCCATCTGGGGAATCAGGGGACTTGTTTTACATACGATCAGGTGCCATATCCTTGATCGATTCAAGAGTGAGCTTCTCTTCACACTCGTGTGGGTGCGTTTTGGACTGCTCGTGCACCAACGTCGCATCCTTCATCGCATCAATAGGGTTGACCAAGTCGGCGGACGTTGGTAATCGCGTAGACATTTCTCTCTGGG